AGGGTGAAGATGGGTGAAGGGGTTCAAGAGTTCTGGTTTCGAGTCTTGGGGGTTCGGTTTGTCAAAGGGTAGCACAAGCGGTTAGGGAGCTTTGTGTCTTGGGCTTTTTTGGGGGGTCGTACTTGGAGGTTCATGGGTATACGTAGGGTTATAAGTATGGTAGTTAGACTTACAACCCCAGCTAGGGCACTTCTAACCCTACTTATAACTACCCATGAACCTCCAAGTAGGGCCTTAGGGCGGGTCACCCTGCAACCGGCACCCTCTGCGCACCCCTGGGCTCGAAGCACCCCAAAAAACCAAGAGTTAAACCCTAAACCCCAAACCCCAAACCCTAAACCCTAATTTAAACTCTTACATAACTCTGGAGGCCGTCGGAAGGGCCACTGGAAGGCATCCTCCTCTTCTTCTCAGAATGCAGAAAATGTAAAGGTTTACCCTCATCTACTTGGAGGTCGTGGCAGATGAGGGTTTAGGGTTTAGGGTTTAGGGTTCAGGGTTTAGGGTTTAGGGTTTCGGGTTTAGGGTTTCGGGTTTCGGGTTTCGGGTGTCGGGTTTCGGGCTTAGGGTTTAGGGTTTAGGGTTTAGGGTTTAGGAGGTTCATAGGTAGCTATAAGTAGGGTTGTAAGTGCCTTAAGTGGGGTTCTTGGCATCACTACCATACTTGTAGCCCTACTTATACTACCGATGAACCTCCAAGTAGGAGTAACTTGGAATAAGAAGGGTGCCCTTTTTTGGTTCACAAAGGCGGGGCCTACTCTGGGCCCTAGTCATCACCGAAACCCCTATAAAAGCCAGGTGCACGTCGTCAGAACCATCCTGGAACTCAGCCGATCTCTTCGCTTCGCTTTCGGGGATTCGAAGGACTTGGCATTGGAGGTTGGCCGTAGATTGGGCTACGGCGCAGCGGGTTTCCCCAAGCCCCAATGTGGTTGTTCTGAACTGCCCAGAGAGCCCAATACCCCTTAATTAAGGAATATACCTTAAATTCAATTAGGGTCCGGATTTAATTTAGGCAGTTTTTGTTTTTTGGTGTATATAAGGAACCTTCATATGGTTTAAGGTATATTCCTTTTTTCAGGGGTATTGGGCTCTCTGGGTATGTGGTCCCCTTCCAAGGAGCTCCGAGTGCGACGCGGTGTAGGGCAACCCAAGCTGGGACAATCAGGCAACTCTTCCATCCCCATCTTGGCGAAACCCTAAAGCCTAAACCCCAAGGCCTTAAACCCTAAACCCTGCACCCTGAACCCTGAATCCTGAACCCTGAACCCTGAACCCTAAACCCTAAACCCTAAACCCTAAACCCTAAAGCCTTAACCCTAGACCCTAGACCCTAGACCCTAAACCCTAAACCCGAAGCGAGTGCTCAGTGCCTCCTGCAGGGCGGCCCGGGAGACCGCGCCTGTGTCAGCAAGCTCCCAGGTCTGTTGTTTTCAAGGCTTGCCATGCGGTTTAGGGTTTAGGGTTTAGGGTTTAGGGTTTAGGGTTTAGGGTTTAGGGTTAGGGTTTAGGGGTTCAGGGTTCAGGAAAAGACTTGCAAGGCGCGTCGGCGCAGTCACGAGGCTTGGCACCACTTGTAGCTCCAGGGTTTAGGATCTACAGGGTTTATGTGGGGGTTTACGAAACTAAGGGATCCCTTATATGGACCCCCAAAATAGTAGGATTCCCTCATAATAAGTACCACAGCGCCACTGCAGCTGTGCATCTCGCCCTAGAGCGCTCTGGGGCATGTGTTGCATTTGGCGTTTTTACGCCTCACCACACCCTGCGCTTTTGACAGCGCCTCTTCTTTCTTTTCACGTGCTGCCTCTAACCACCTACGGGCCTAGGTTGTGTTGCAGATACAGTTTCCTGATGAAGAGGACTGATGTTTTTCTACGCTCGGGATTCCCTTTTACTTTTCTGTGGGCTAGTTATAAGAAGGCTTCTAAGTGCCCTAAGACCATACAGATCCGAACACTACACATGCGCTCCCCTAGGCCCTGAACCCTAAACCCCAAACCCCAAACCCTAAACCCTATGGCCTATAGGTGCCGAGACAGACGAGGATGCCGCCACCGAGGCGGCCATCGTGGTGCTCGTCTGGTCACTCATGGCCAATTGAGAGCTTCTGGGGTTTAGGGTTTAGGCTTTGGAATTTGGGAATTGCTGGTTTGAAGGTCTGGGCATTTGGGGTTTAGGGTTTAGGGCTTAGGGTCTGGAATTTTGGAATTGCTGGTTTGAGGGTCTGGGCGTTGAGGCCGACAATGCAAAAAAACAATGCATCTAGCAGTTTCTGATTTCGGCTCGAGTCGGATGGTGTGACAAGTGAGGTGGCATCATGGGGCTGCCTTTGGCAATCAACTAAAAAAGGTCTGGAAGTTGGATGTAAGTAGACCTGACTTTCCAAACCATTCGTCGGTGGCCCGATTCCCGTTCGTGCTACAAGTAGACTCTTCGCGCAACGGCTACGCTTGAGCTGAAAGAATGGTGAACGCTTGACATCACTTCTCCACCCTGAACGGGCCTAGCATTCCAGAACACACAACAGCGACAGCAAGGAACTCGAAAAGCACTGTCGAGCTGACAGTTTCCGGTAGCAGGGTGCGTCCTGAAGATGGTCATGACTCTTCTGCGCTGCGTTCGTACATGCTCTCGCCTCCGTTGATGTCTCTTAGTTTCTCAGTGTCTCTTAGAGTGGGCGGGTGAGAGGATGCGTGGATGGGTGAGTGGATGCGTGGTTGAGGGCGCGGCTATGTGGCTGATGCTTTTGCAACAAAAAACGAAGGGTAGCATTCGACGTCTACACATGTCGGCGAATTTCTGCAAACGAGGGCAGCAGCAAGAACTGCAGAACATCTCATCAGTCGACCCAGGTTTAGCTGCGTCTAGCGGCATTCAAAAAAACAAAGGACCAAGACATGTGTCCTGCCTTCCTGCCCCGCTTTCTCAATTGGATGCAAATGCACAAGCGCTTGGCGCAACATGGCTAATCTTCGGTACTGTCTTACCAGTCATGCCAATACGAAAGAAATCGCTGGAAAGATGTTGACAGCTGTCGGCGACGTGCCACTCTGGACAGTACCGAAAGGAAAAATCAGGGCGACCGGAGTCTAGTGACCAGCTCAGTGTAACAAAAACGAAAGACATTGTTTGCACTGTAAACAGCAACTGTTGAGTTGCTCAGCACTAGAAGCTGCGGTCAACCTGATGTGGGCACACCGCCCCAGCAGCTTACATCTGTCCATCAGCTTTGTATGGAAGTCACCTGGGCTTGTGGGATGCAACGCCAAGTTTCCTGAGGCCTAGAGTGGGCCTGGAGCTTCATGAGGGGCAAATTTGTGTGGTATTTACCCTAAACCCTAAACCCTAAACCTTTGTGAGCCTTGTGGCTATTTTTAGTCGATCTGGGTCCAGCTTGCGAAGTCACCCAAATCGAAACGCTTCTCCGAACTTGAAAGCTGCATGGGCACGTGTACAGGCGGTAGAAACAACCAAAGGTAAAGGCCCCGCACCCAGAAGCCGCTTGTCAAGTGCATACCGTCCCGGGGGGAGGTTCAACTCATCCGATGTTCTGCTACGACTTCAGCATGGACCTCGCAGCTACCACAGATGCGGCAGCTACAACTGGCAACGATCCCTGCAATCAACCTGGTGGGTTCTCCGGGTCTGAGACATAGCATCTTTTGACCGCTGTGCCGCAGTTAAGCTGCTTGCTTCTATTTTTTCATGCTGGCATCTCCTGGCTCGTGACGTGATGTCCCAACAGCAACTTCTCCCTTTCCCTTTTGCATGCTTTGATGACCGGTCCCTTCCGATTTAGCAGGAGGCTCGTGAGGTTGATTGCACGTGTGTGCGCAAAAGCAATCAACCTGGCAAGTGAAATCGAGGTGGGTCTTTTGAGGAATGATATTTGCAGAGTACCACACAGACCCTGAAAGCACGAACCCCTAAACCCAAACGTGCCGCATTTCAGCTCCACGCGAGCTCCGCAGCCACAAGGGGTGGCCTCGTCCTGATGAGGATCACATTCTTAGAGATAGGCATGGCTAGATGGATGAGGGTCTGGGGTTAGTAAACGATACTCACCTCTTTCTCCAGAAAATACCCTTAAACAACATGAAATAACAATGTGTGTGCATCCCTTTGGCTTTTCGTCATGAGCACCTAAACCATTCATAATTTCCTCTATACTCCCCTGAGAACCTTAATAAAAATATGCTTAATATCCTCTTGGGTTTCATATAAAAAACAATCCCAAGGGGGAATATAGTTCTAACGAGGCTACATAGTTAAGGGTCTCCTCTCAGAGTAACTTGGACAAGGCCCCGAGACTCTCAGCCGCCCGGCTTGCTCAACTTGCGCGCCTGCTTTTTTTCGGGGGTATCCCCTGCATGGACATTGGAGGTTCATGGAGGAAAGCTCATGACCTGCCATAAGGTCGGCCTTTGGCCGGCTCAGGTCCTTCGTGCTCCGCAGATTGGGGCGAAAATGACTCACGCAGGCTGACAGGTTGTTGTGACCATCGTTGGGATGTAGAGTTTGAGGAGTTTGGAAAATGTGGTGCCAGTCTGAGGCATGAAGCAGTCAGGGGTATGCCCTGCATTTTACGATTGCAATCTTCAGAATGGCAGCCACAACATCCTGCCAGCCTCCAGTGAGTTGCGCATTAACAAAACGTAACCCCGGTGGGATGGAAAATTCCCTTGCTGAAAGCACAAAACTTCGGGCGCGAGATACCACCTCAGCATGAAGATTCCCCAAGCCCCAAGTACACTCAATGGAGTATGGGATCGTTACGATTGTGCGGGTTGTTGGGTCGCTATCCGCATTGGTGCAGGTGGAATCGTCGGAAGGCCCGCTGCTTTCGTCGCCAAGGGACTCCTGGGTCCAGCGCAAGTCTCTGAGCTGAGATCGAAACAGCCTGCGCGAGCGCGCCTACAGCAGCAGTGACATGCTAAGTAGTGCCACATTCATGATGTAAGTCCCGAGTCTGTGAGACTGGCCCATCCCCTCGGGTTCTACTCGCTGTCTTTGACGCGTCCTTCCTCAACTTCGCTAAGGACGGACGTGCTGACCCCTTTCTCAGCTTTGCTGACCCCTTGCTCAGCTTTGCTGAGGACGTCCATGACATCTTGGAAGTTGACAGACAGCCAAAGAAGGCTTCCCTGCCAACTGCCGTAAACATTTGTCAAGTGGTTGTGCAGGGCCTGCTGGAAAATTCTGCCGAGTCTCTCACCGCATTGCTCACTTGCGTAGTTCACTCGCCAGTTGAAGAACAGCCTGGCGGCAGTCTCCTGGGCCACGACAGGATTGAGGGTCCTACCTGTGTAAACACGAACAAACATGGCAGGCCACCAAAGCATCCTAAGAACCACCAAGATTCAATGCGTAGCTCTTCGATTTGTAGCAGTCCTGCAATGTTGTTCAGTAATCCCAAGAGGGTCAGCCACTGAAGAAGGTCCCAGTCCCAGAAGAGCATGCCGGAGATGAAAGCAGTAGCCCCGATTTTGCTGACCAAGGCTGCTATACCCAACGCAGCACCGAAAAAGGCGGAGGCCAGCTCTGCCAGAAAAACTGCAATGTTGCATTCGTAGTAAGCTCGCTGCAACCTCTCAAGACACTGATGAGGGTTGGCCAGCCGAAGCAATGCGAGAGCTGAGAAGTCAGCGAGGCTTCGGATTAAGTGAGCCCTGTGCGGTGCATCAATGACCTGAAGCCCAAGAGCCTTGCCACTAGCCACGAGCATGTCCTTGGTCAGAAACACAAGCACGATGAACCACACGCCGCAGAACTCAAGCCAGCCGAGCACGTGCTTTGTCTGGTTCAATGACTGCTCCGGGTGTCGGGGCGGCAGCTCAAAAAGAGCGTATGTGAACAGGAAGATGTTCAAAAGGGCGCGGGCGCAAATCCTGCAGGCTCGGAAGCCACGCGTCCAGTTAGCTTCAAAGACTTTGATGATCTTCTGGTCATTAAGCTTTTGCTGAGCAAGCGTGATTCTACGGGGTTCCTTGCTTTGCAATCGGGCCATGTGTTCAAGCAGCACGGCCAACGTCACATATGGAATCAAGACCATGAGCAGAATGCTGGCCAGGCCAAGGCTAGTCAAGTACCAGGTCCCTTTGGGGGACAACACACTCGGCCCACGGTAGGCCCACTGGCCACCAACCAGGTAGCCCAGCACAAACATGGTGAGCGACGGAAGAACGCATATGAGTACAGCGGCAACAACACATCGTCCCTTGGGCACAATTTCGGAAAAGCTGTGACCAACCGCGGCATTGGAGACGGTGGAGTGGGCTGAGTCCAGGCGTTTGTATTGTGAGTCCCGAGCACCTTCCTCAGTCTTCTGGTCCTCCAAGTTGACAGTGTTGTTCAGTGGGTCCCGGGCATTCTCCTCGGGCTCCTCGAACGTAACCTTCCCGAGCTTGACAGCCTTCGCGCTTTTTACTTCTCCATGGCTTCGCATGATGAGTCCAGGCCTAGCTTGGAAGGGGGGTTAATTAGTGCTGAGGCCCAACTGTGAAGCTGTCGCACAATACTCGGTTCACAGTCTGCTATCATATGTTGCATCCTTGTATGCAGGATCGCATGGTTTTGCGCCCTGTGTCAGAACTTCAAGCCTGGGAAAGTGCGGCACTGCATGAATCGTGACTATCATAATATAATTACCCTTTCTAAGTTATGGTGTGCCATTTCTGTACAATAAATGTAACTATAATACTATATACATATATGGAAAGAGAGTCTATTACAGTCACAGTGCGAACTGAGGGTGTAGGAACGTGCACATGGGCAGCGTCCCACAATTTGTGTTGTCTTAGGAAACGCACATATAAAACAACTCCGTCGCCATACAGCCGCCCGCCCCCGACTAAGGCCGACCAGCCGTTCTTGAAGCTTGTTTCTGAGCAGAGGCCCACACCAAAACAACTTAAGCTCTACCCCGCATCAAACTGCACTCACCTGCGTCGCCGTCCTGGACGTCGTCACCTTGGCGGAACAAGGGGAAAGCAGAACAGAAAAACTATTCTCAATGACCCCAGATGGGGGGTTACGAAAAGGTCAGGGCTCTTGTCCTTGGAGGTCCTGCGGGTCCTATATTCTGAGCCGAAGACTGAGGCACAGAGAGCCGGCAGATACTTAAGGGATTACACAAAGACAAGAGAGAGAAGAGGGTGAGAGAGGAGGAGAGAGAGAGGGAGGAGAGAGGGAGGAGAGGGAGAGAGGGAGAGGAGGAGAGGGGAGGAGGGGAGAAGAGACGGGATGGAGAGGGGAGAGAGGGAGGAGAGAAGACAGGGAGAGCGAGAGAGGGAGGAGTGAGAGAGGACGAGAGATAGAGAGAGAGGGAGAGAGAGAGGGAGAGAGGGGAGAGAGGGAGAGAGGGAGGAGGGAGGAGGAGAGGGGAGGAGGGGAGGAGAGGGAGAGAGAGAGGGAGAGAGGGGGAGAGAGGGGGGGAGGGAGGGAGAGAGGGGAGAGAGCGAGGAGAGGGAAGAGGGGAGAGGGGAGAGAGGGAGGAGAGAATGAGAGGGAGAGGGAGAGGGGGAGAGAGGGAGGGAGAGGGAGAGGAGGGGAGAGGGAGAGAGGGAGAGGAGGAGAGAGGAGAGAGAGGGAGGAGAGGAGAGAGAGGGGGAGAGAGAGGGGAGGAGAGAGGGAGGAGAGGGAGGAGAGGAGAGGGAGGGGGAGGGAGGAGAGGCGGGGAGAGGGGAGCGGAGAGGGATGAGAGAGGAGGGAGAGAGAGGGAGGAGGGAGAGAGGGGAGGAGAGGGAGAGAGAGGAGAGGAGGAGGGGAGAGGGAGAGAGGAGGGAGAGGAGGGAGAGGGGAGAAGGGAGAGAGGGGGAGGGAGAGAGGGGGAGAGGGAGAGAGGGATGGGAGAGAGGGAGGAGAGGAGGGAGAGAGGGAGAGAGGGAGAGAGGGGAGGAGAGAGGGGAGAGGGGAGGAGAGGGGAGGAGAGGGAGAGAGGGAGAGGGAGGAGGAGAGAGGGGAGAGAGGGGAGGAGAGGGAGAGAGGGAGGAGAGGGAGAGAGGGAGAGAGGGAGGAGAGGGAGGGAGAGAGCGAGGGGGAGAGAGGGAGAGAGGGAGAGAGGGGAGGAGAGAGGGAGAGAGGGAGATGAGAGGAGGCGAGAGAGGGAGAGAGGGAGAGAGAGAGGGGAGAGAGAGGGAGAGGAGAGAGGGAGAGAGGGAGAGAGAGGAGAGAGAGAGGGAGAGAGGGAGAGGAGAGGAGAGAGGGAGAGAGGGAGAGAGGGAGAGAGGGGGGAGAGAGAGAGAGAGAGGGGAGAGAGGGAGAGAGGGAGGGGAGAGAGAGGGAGAGAGGGAGAGAGGGAGAGAGGGAGAGAGGGAGAGAGGGAGAGAGGGAGAGAGGGAGAGAGGGAGAGAGATTACTCAAAAGTCATGGGTTGTTGGCGTTGCGCGTCAAGCTCATGCACATCATGAACCATACGGTGGGAGCATCATTCTCTCAGCCCCATGCTGTGACAGTCGATAGTGCGGTCCTGGCACTTGTTTTGCTGTTGCGCTCACTGGGATGAGGAGAGGGTCAAGTTGGTATTGGGAGTATGACATCGGGGTGTCAGAACAGGAGTTGCCCCGTCAGCCTTTCTCAAAAAAAGAATCTTTAGCGACGAATGTTGAACATGGCAGCGAAAGATGATCATGGCAGTGGGATACCATATGGGGAACGATCACTGTTGTGGCCCATTTCTAGGATTTTGGTCAAAATTGCACGGCAACATCTCATGATGCGCGGGCTTGGGTGCTTTAAGGCTTCCGAAGCCAGAAGGCAGATGATCCAGATGATGTTCGTCTGCAAATCCAAGCCCAGGACTCTTCCCTTTCAACTTTAAATTTCAGTCCAGATTCTCCAAGCAGCCTTGCACGGAAGGCCCCTGCCTAGTCACTACAGATGATGGAAGACGCCAGACTTCAAAGTCTGCACCAGCCCCTTCGCAAAACCTGTGCCCCAGGGGCGCCTAGCCGGAGTTTCGGCTCCCCGTGCAGGCTGGGGCCTGCTGCCGAACGAGGCGCAGAGAGTGGACGCAGCACCGCACACAAGTCCTGTTGAACCCTGAACCCTAAACCCTGAACCCTAAACCCAAAACGGCGCAGGATCTTGGCAGTGGCAAATTTGGGACATACATACATACATATATATATATATATATACATATGAAAATTGTACATACACACAAGAACAAAAAAGACAATGATACGAACGATACTGATGTTTATACTCAAAGTAATACTCAACACCAATTCCAAACTACATCTGAACCCTGAACCCAAGACCACAACCGAAAATGGCTTCATGGCTGGTTATACGTAGGGTTAAAAATACGGAAATTATGACGTACTTATAACAGTACTTCTGACTACCCATGAACCTCCAAGTAGGGTTGAGGGCTGAGACCCCTAAACCCTAAACCCTAAACCCTAAACCCTAAACCTAAACCCTAAACCCTAAACCCTAAACCCTAAACCCTAGTTTAGGGTCAGCCAGCCTTGCTTCGGACGCGTCTGGGACCGGCCCACCGAGGGTGGCAGGGAGCGGCCTGGCAGCTCTTCAAAGGGCGTTTAGGGTTTAGGGTTGAGGGTTTAGGATTTAGGGTTTAGTATTTGCATTCAGGGTGTAGGATTTAGGGTTTAGGGTTTCATGTCTCTAAGAAGCGGATTTTTCGGGCTTTGGGGCTTCATGGCTGATTTAGGGTGTTTACCGCCAGGCATTCTGTCTTGCCAGCCAGGCAATAGGGAGGCGGGTTAGTGCCCTGATGCCGACTGTCCCCGGGCAGTTTAAACGTCTACGAAAATAAGGGACCCCCTATATAGATCTAGAAAGGACCCAGTAAGGTACCCTTAATATTGTAAACCACCATATGCTCTCTTGCTTGCAAGCTGTGCCGAGAGTCTCAATCCCCACCCGTCAAACCCTAACTCCACGCTGAGCCCTGCTCCCCCGCCTAAACCCTAAACCCTAAACCCTAAACCCTAAAACCTGAACCCTAAAACCTGAACCCTAAACCCGCATCGCTCCACCAGAGCCCTCAGCCCCTGCAACTGCTCGCTGCGGGCCTCGTCGCTCGAGCGCCACCGGCTCCGCAGCAGGCGCGGCCGTGGCAGCCTGCAAGAGCGAATTTAGGGTTTAGAGTTTAGGGTTTAGGGTTTAGGGTTTAGGGTTTAGGGTTGTTTATTTGGTAAGCCGGCGTGGCTTCGCCTGTCGTTAAGTTCCCTTCGTCATGGTCGTACAGGGTTCAGCTGGCTTCCCGGCTGCAACCGCATGGGTTGCGCTTACTTCACAAACCTATGGACCTATGACCTAATTATGCCCAGCCTCAATTTTGGCTGGTCCGCCATTGGAGATTCGCCAGCCGCTCATGTAGACCTGGCGCCAATAGAGTTCAACTGAGCTGTCAGCCGCACACTACAAACGCCCACGTGGCCGTTTTCCACGCCAGAGTTTGCTCCCTGCAAGTGCAGGACACCGTGAAGCGAGTCGTGATGAGGCTGCGAAGCTCGATTTGAGGGTTCAGGGCTTAAGCTTCGGGTGTACAAATTCTAAGTGGCTCTCGAACATCTTGCTGCTGGCTCGTTGCAGGACTGCTACATCTAAAAGTGATGAAGACTGGCCTCCTTGGCTTCGGTAAATGCCAGCACTCGACCCGTGCCTGTTCCTAGGGTACCTCTTTTCTTTGAGCTGGATTTTTGAAGCGAATCCGAAATCCCGATGCAGATCTATACGACATATAAAACATAAAACAGCTCACTGATCTTGACAACTGCCAGCTGAGGACCCAAGGCAGGAAGCATTCGGTGAAACAGTCTTGCTGCCACCAGCCATCAAGGGCACGCAGTTTCGGCTGTGTTCGGCCATGTGCTCCGAGTGGCTGCAACACACATTCCATCATGAAGGTGTCACGATGCTCATGCCCCTAAACCCTACACCCTAAACCCTAAACCCCTAAACCCTAAACCCTAAACCCATGTCATGACTTCGGCTCTGGCATGCACCGCTGGGCAAGCTCCCGGCAGTAGTCCGACGCCAGACGGGCCGCCGTCCCCTTAAGCTGGTCACCGAGATTTAAGACGAATTCGGGGACGTCCTGCTCAAACTTGAGATCGATCTTGAAAAAGGGAGAGGCTGCACCCCCGGCCTGAAGAGCTGCAAGGTCCAGCATGTAGGTCTTGCCGACCTCGTCGGGCTCCGGGGCACGTGGGTCGGAGTTTCCGGAGTCGTAGAACGCCACCGTCAGCACCAGCTTGGCCTGCTCCTTGTCGAAGGCCCATGTCCCAGCTCCAGAAACGGCGGAGTTGCCTCTCGCGTGTGAATACTCAAAGCCTGAGGACTCTTCAATGCTCCAGGCACCATCCGAGCGCAGCTTCATGGTGGACTTGGTCCACTTTCCCTCGAACACTGCCCTTGGACCTTCGCCCTTCTGTTTCATGTCGGACTTGCCGCCGCTTAGAATAGCCTCAGCCATGGCACCAAGAAAATGAACCCTTTTACAGGAAAACTCATGCTCGTTAGTTGCTCCCGATCGTAGAGAAGGTGGCAAAGGCCTAGCAAAGAACGCCCATTGAACTGCCAGTCATGGGCCTTGTTGGAGACTTCAACTTATTCACCCCCGGCCCGAAAGCTAAGTACAGGTGGCTGTACTGGCACTCTGGTGATCCATGGCAGCACAATGCGACAAGTGACAAGTACTTGGAGGTTCATGGGTAGTCATAGGTAGGGACTTATAAAGTATGGTAGTTATACTTCTAACTTCTAACCCCACTTAGGGCACTTATAACCCTACTTCAAAAGCTCAGGCAGGCCCGACCATCCCTCCCATGGGCCGGTTCGGAGATCCGAGGCCGAAGAACCCATGTATAACCCTCAAGCATGCAATCTCACTCTCCCCTGGTAGCCCAGCAATCAGCTGATAATGAGGGTGCCCATTTGGGGTTGGTTACTTGAGAAGGGGGCCTTGAACCAAAACAAAAACAGTGAAGAGGGCACCACTGGGCTAGAAAGTCTCAATGCTTTTTGGGGGACAGGAAGAGGCTTTGGGGGGAACCCCAAACCCCAAACCCGAAACCCGAAACCCCAAACCCCAAACCCCAACCCCAAACCCTAAACCCTAAACCCTGGTTTTGGCATGCACCCGGGGGCTTGGCCGTCAAGGCATCCACCACCAGCTGGTCCAGGCCGTCCCGCACTCCTCATTGACATACAAGACCTAAGGCCCCAAACCCTACAACCCTAGGGTTTAGGGTTTAGGGTTTAGGGTTTAGGGTTTAGGGTTTAGGGTTTAGGGGTTGGTTTAGGGTTTAGGGTTTAGGGTTTAGGGTTTAGGGTTTAGGGTTTAGGGTTTAGGGTTTAGGGTGTAGGGTTTAGGGTGTAGGGTTTGATGTTTGATGTTTGGGGTTTGGGGTTTGGGGTTTCGGGGTTTCGGGGTTTAGGGGTTTAGGGGTTTAGGGGTTTAGGGGTTTAGGGGTTTAGGGGTTTAGGGGTTTAGGGGTTTAGGGGTTTAGGGGTTTAGGGGTTCGGGGTTTGGGGTTTCGGGTTTGGGGTTTGGGGTTTGACCCCGAAACCACAGTGGTGGCTGCTTGCTTAGGACTGAGAGATTGAGCTTGATGTGTTGGCTTTGCAGTGCTTTGGGTCTCTTCTTGAAGCGGGTTCAGACTGAGGGATGCAAGGGTGACCCCCAAGTCGCCCTAAACCCCCAAAACCGGACATGGCATTATCGACCCAACTTAAGCACGGACCCGAACCCTCAAGCTAACACCCATCTTCTACGACCCCAACAAGCAAACGCCTCAAGTCCTAAACCCCAAAAGCTGAAACCCTAAATCCCTGAAGCCCTAAACCCTAAACCCCAAATCCCCCAGACCCAAAACACGAGACCCTCAAAGCCAAAACCCCAAACACCGAAATTCAAAACCCTCCATAGAAACGCAAAGCAAAGAGCCCTTGAACTGCCCTGGCTTTCCCTTGAACTGCCCTGGGTTTAGGGTTTAGGGTTTAGGGTTTAGGGTTTGGGGTTTGGGGTTTAGGGTTTAGGGTTTAGGGTTTAGGGTTTAGGGTGGGCCTGCAGGAGGTGCTTCCGCCGCAGCAGCCTCCGTCGTCGGCTCTGCAGAAGCTGGCGCCAGTGCTCCTTGCTGTTGCGGGCACTTAGGGTTTAGGGTTTAGGGTTTAGGGTTTAGGGTTTAGGGTTTAGGGTTTAGGGTTTAGGGCTTAGGGCGGGTTCAGATATTTTGGGGTATGGGTGTTGGGTTTCGCCTTCAAAGCTTAGGGCTTAGTAGCTTTGAGGGTTTAGGGTGCTAGGGACAATTAAAAATCCACATCTTTTCTTGTCCTAATACTTCCAATAATCGTTTTCGCTCACCTGCGCTGGGGTGATATCTGGTCAAACCCGGAGTCCCGAAACCCTGGCTGTTGTGGTCGTAGGAGGTCTGGATTGGGCTGTCGGTCGGGCAGGGAATCGGGCCCAGGGAACAGCGTAGCTGTGTTAAACCACCCGGCCACCGACGTTCTGGATCTATTTAGATGGCAGGCCAGACAACATAAACAATTGGCACATCTCATGTAGCAACTCATCATGAGAAGCCCCCCTCCCTGGAACCCTGAAGCACCATATTCCACCCCTGAACCTAAACTGAACCCTTGAACCCTTAACCCCTAAAACCTAAACCCTAAACCCCTAAACCCTAAACCCCTAATTCCCTGAAAATCACTCCATGGCCTGGTTCCGTCTCGGCGCAGCGCACGGCCAGAAGCTGCATGAGGAAGCTGGGCACTGCGCCGTCACTGGCGCAGAGCCTCGAGGATTTCGGGGGGAAGGAGGTTTAGGGTTCAGGGTTCAGGGTTCAGGGCTTAGGGGTTTAGGGGTTTAGGGGTTTAGGGTTTAGGGGTTAGGGTTTAGGGTTTAGGGTTTAGGGTTTAGGGTTTAGGGTTTAGGGTTTAGGGTTTAGGGTTTAGGGTTTAGGGTTTAGGGTTTAGGGTTTAGGGTTTAGGGTTTAGGGTTTAGGGTTTAGGGTTTAGGGTTTAGTGTTTATGGTTTAGGGTTTAGGGTTTCGGGTTTAGGGTTTAGGGTTTAGGGTTTAGGGTTTAGGGTTTAGGGTTTAGGGTTTAGGGTTTAGGGTTTAGGGTTTAGGGTTTAGGGTTTAGGGTTTAGGGTTAGGTTTAGGGTTTAGGGTTTAGGGTTTAGGGTTTAGGGTTTAGGGTTTAGGGTTTAGGGTTTAGGGTTTAGGGTTTAGGGTTTAGGGTTTAGGGTTTAGGGTTTAGGGTTTAGGGTTTAGGGTTTAGGGTTTAGGGTTTAGGTGAGGCACGGGTAGGGGCTGCAGTGTTTGCGCCTAAGCTTTTGGAATCTCCGTGTGCTTCTCAGCTCCAGAACCTCGATCTAAAACCCTACCCCTAAAGAACTCATGTCACATAGGCTGGCAGAGGGTTTAGGGTTTAGGGTTTAGGGTTTAGGGTTTACGGTTTACCATATGGAAGGATGGGTGGCAAGCCACGCCGCCAAGGGCCCCACGGCATCATGTCCTGCAGGACTGCTTGGGTTTGCACTTGGGGAGTCTTGGTGGCAAATCCTATACTCCCCTTAGAACCATAATCAAAAGAATATGTTCAATATCCTCTTGGGTTTTATATATATATATATAAACAAAACTAAAAAAATTAATTCCCCAGATACTCTCCGCTCACGACTGCGGCGTAGTCTCCGGGAGCTTCCGCAACTCATTCGGGGGTTTCCGGGGATGGGTTTCGGAAGCTCCCATCCTTCAAGCTACAGCAGAACTCATTGACGCCACACTTCCACAGAGTTTCAGGGCTCCTCTTGGAGGTTCATGGGTAGTAACAAGTAGGGTTATAAGTATGGTAGCTATACTTAAAACCCCCACTTAGGGCACTTCTCAACCCTACTAAAATAACTGCCCATGAACCTCCAAGCAGGGTACCCGAAGCCCCAAACCTACTATTTGCTTAAAAACCCCAAAAGACTGAAAAATAGCAATCCCTATATTGCCTTAATAAGGAAGAATATTCTTATTATTTTCGGGGTTCTTAAGCAACTTGTAGAAACAGTCCTGTAGCTCCTGAAGCTGCGCGCGGGATCCACCTCGAGGGGGTCGGAAACTTTGGGGGGGAGCGGGGGAAGCCTCCACGAAAGTTACCCAAAGCCTAAAAGCCACACAGACACGAACTTAAAACTAAATGACGGATGATACAGTACACACAAGTGAATGCATAAAATCGTAGCTGACGTGCAGTAGGAGATAGGAGCCTTTGTTCTCAGCGCTGCTTGGCCACCCCCGGGCACTAACGTTTTCGTCCTAGGAAAGCAGCCCTCGACGAACACTTGCTTGAAGGCGTGCTGCCATGTCACGACAAGCCCTACTCCAAACTTTTGTATGAACGTTCTTGTTATCTGGCTCAGGACATGAACCCTTCTGATTCGGGCGATGCGCCCTGCAGTTAGTTGGCTGATCCTGACCTCCCCGAAAGAGCACTGCTCTTACGAATCGCTCTTGGAGGGCGAGGTCTGTCACGTCTAGCACAATAGGACCTTGAACCCCTAAACCCTAAACCCTAAACCCTAAACCCTAAACCCTAAACCCTAAACCCTAAACCCTAAACCCTAAACCCTAAACGGGCGTCCACACGCAGGGGCCACTAAGTGCCAGGCCGCGTCTGGGCGGGGCGAGGCCGTGCGCCAGGCCACCTCGGGACCGAAAGGCTTGGGCTTCTATACTTGGAGGTTCATGGCACTTACTAACCATGTATAACTGTCATTATAACCCACTTTATGAGCCCCTTAAGTGCCCGAATATGGTTAGAATTGGGTTATAAGTACAGTAGGGGCACTTGCAGCTAAGGCAGCTAAGAGCATTGGGGTTGTACACGGCTGCAGGTGCTTCGGGCTCTTTGGATTTTGGGGCCTGCCACGGCTGGAAAGGCTTTGGTTGTGTGGCCTACGTACACAGTGCAACAGTGCAGAGGGCTCAGGGGGATGTTGCACGGTGACATGCTGGTGCTTTCGGGCCGGTGGGGACGATGTAGGCGAAAGGGTCTTGGAAAACTGAGCTGCGCACTGTTGCACCGTTAGTTTGTAGTTGCTTTTCGTTTCGACACTTTGCTCACAAGGCATATACAGACACCGATGTGAGGCTGCTAATATACAGACACCGATGTGAGGCTGCTAACCTACATGTCTTACAAACGAATGCTGTTTGTGCCTTTTTCATGCCTTCCTGACGACATGCTTCGGCATCCCAGTCTCTGCAACACGGAAGACCTGAAAACATCCCTGTCCGTGCAATCCTCTTTACGGGGTTTAGGGTTTAGGGCGTTTGCTGTCACCTCATCTGAGCCTTCTGCTGACACCTCTGTGCACCGCCAGGCGAAACTGCAGGTGCGAAAGGCAGGTTGGGAAACCGAGACGAGTGCTTCAAGACCGAATCCTAAACAGGACCAATGAAGCTTTCCGAGCGTAACCTCCCAAATCCTCAAAAAAACTCAACCTGCAGGTGCAAAGGGTGCTTAACCCCAGGCGAAGGCACGACCTGGAGTCCTAACTCCGTAAAATTTGGGTTGCAGGGTTGGCCCCTTGGGGCCTTGGCCTTAAACTGACTCCAGTTAGTCATCCAGAAGCCGAAGCTGATCCCCAGAGCCTAATTAGGGGTGGTGACGGACTTTTAAGCACGTCGAGACGTCTTGGAGAATTCGAAGCCTCAACTCCGAAATTCTGACGCAGGGCTCAATAATTCGAGCACTTGGGGTTTTTTGGGCTCTCATCGTCTCAGGGCGCTCAACCAACCGTCAGATCATCTGGTGACTCCCCTGGCCTTGTATGGTAGCACGTAGAAAGGAACCGGCACGAGGCGGCTCACAGGGTCCCGCATGGTCTCCTGCAGGAAACTTAGGAGCTTTGGGGAAGTTTAGGGTTGCTTAGGGTTGCTTAGGGTTGTTTAGGGGTTTAGGGTTTAGGGTTTAGGGTTTAGGGTCTCAGACTTAGAGTTCCCCGACTTAGGGTTCCCCCTGGGCTTGATCTAGACTACACAGCGTAACCTGGGAAAGGGAGCTGAAATAAAGGAGCCCTAAACCCTTAACCCCAAACCCCAAACCCTAAACCCTAAACACTAGCCCTAAACCCTAAACCCTAAAGCCTAAAGCCTAAACCCTAAACCCTAAACCCTCAACCCTAAACCCTAAACCCCAACCCTCAAAAAAGGGGAAGAGGGGCCTATCCCCGGGTCCGAGTGATTGAAACGCAGTCATGCCCTTTTGCGCGTCAGGTTCACAGATCTTTGGAAGCGGGAAGCACCTTACGTATCAACAATCACTAGACCTAAGGGCAACCTAGGATTAGAAGGGTGCCCTCTTGGGTTTAAAGGGGCTTATATGCGAACCTACTCTGACCAAGTATCTACTGTATCCTACTCCCTGTCTGCCAACGGCTTGAGCGAGCCTGTCGGGTGGGCGTGTGAGTCTGGGGAGGGGGGAAGAAAGAGAGAGCTTGTTCCCGAAGTGGATAAACCCTAAACTCCAAACCCCAAACCCTAAACCCTAAACACTAGCCCTAAACCCTAAACCCTAAACCCTAAACCCTAAAGCCTAAACCCTAAACCCTAAACCCTAAACCCTAAACCCTAAACCCCAAACCCTAAACCGACCACGGGGCATGCCTCCAGCTCGGAGGGAACCAAGGTCCTGGCCAAGGGGCTCCGGCTCGGTCGGCTTTGGGCTTCGAGTTGCTTCCGGGCTTCTTGGTTTTAGGGTCCTTTTCGGGGTTCTTTTAAGGGGTTCTTTTAAGGGGTTGTTTAGGGTTTTTGTTTAGGGTTTCTTGGTTTCAGGGTCTTTGAGGGTTCTTTTTAGGCTTTCTTTTTTTTGGGGGGGGAGGGGGGGGGGGTAAGGTTTTTTGGGGGGTTTTAGGGTCTTCGGGTTTCCTTGGCTTCCTGGCTTTAGGGTCTTTTTAGGGTTCTTTTGGGGGGTCTTAGGGTCTTCGGGTCTTAGGGCTTTAGGATCCTAAAGTTTAGTCTTCTATTTTGCTTCTGGTCTTAGGGTCTTAGGTTTTAGGACCTTTGGCTCTTTTAGGGTTTTTTGAGTTTTTAGGATCTTCGGGTCTTAGGGTTTTAGGGTTGTATTGAGGGTTGGCGATCAGCATAGATGTTGCGTTGGTTGAAGGCTTACTCTGGGGGTTACGGGTCCCTTGTCGATGGGATTGTGTAGGGCTTCGTGGGCCGGGTAATAAGTAGGTGCACTAACAAGACTGCTCACCGCTGAACCCGAAACCCCAAATATCTTGTGCCCTGAAAGGTCCTCAGCTTCTGGTAGAGGAAAAGGGACGCATGCCTGAGCTTTCCGTGCGGTTGCGGGATCGGGTTTTTGCAGTCTGCAGTGCTGTGATGCGACCTTGTGCATGCTCACAGAGTGCACCAGCTGCAAGAAGCTTGCGCAGAGCTGATCTAGCCGACTCGTGCTGACTTGCCTTCTGCTCCTTAGCTGTCTTCCTTAGCTGTCAGCCACCCGATAGGCCATGACCCTGTCTATGTACATGTCCAGCCATGCATAGAACGGGTCGTCGATCCGCTCGCCAGTTTTGCAGGAAACCGCAAAGAACGGCCACCCCTGCTCCGCAGCCATCTCCAGCGCCTCCTCTTGGGTCACTTCGGGCTCAGCCGCATCTGCATGCGTGCCCACCATGCAGATACACCGGCAGGACTCGGGGTGCTTCTCCTGAGTTTCGCCAATGAGCCTCCGAATCTCCTCTAAAGAGGCGCGGCTTTTCAGTGAGAAAACTGCCAGGAAGCCCTGTGCTCCCTTGTAGTAGGCCGTTTCAATGGGCTTGAATCGCTCAAGCCCCGCTGCGTCCCAGACCTGGAGCTTCGTAGTGAGCCCTTCCTCAGACAGCCACTGAAAGGTGCTGAACTCCACACCAACCTTGGTCCAGCAACCATCTTATAAGGGCAACCTTTTTTGGGTTGAGTTATTGTATAAGGGAAACCAGAACCCGAGAAAAGGGCAAAGGGCACCACTGGGCTGCCAAGCAACCGTAGGCGTGTATGCCTCGACGAAGGCTTTGCGGCCGACTGCCCTCAGCAACGAGGACTTTCCGGAGCCCGCTCCACCTTGGTAGCCCAGCAACCATATCACATTAAGGGCACCCTTTTTCTGGTTGGTTACGTTATAAGGGAACCCATAACCAAAAAAAAGGGTCAAGGGTGCCACTGGGCTACCAAGCCACCGATGAGAAGGCACTTGGCCGACACGTCGTGGTCGCTTGTAGACGCCAGGTTGCTGTACTTGCCCAGGGTGGTGTACTTGCCCGTGGTCCTCCTGACCAGGTGCCTTAGTTGGCGCTCGACGGCTTCCCCCAGCCAGAGATCCCGTAACTCCGATAGATGGCCCTACTCCGTGTAAGTCCGAGACGACGACCCAAAACAAAACCAACAGGTAAGGCTTCGGAAGAACTTTCTGGAACTCTCCGGGCCCCTTAACATTCAAACATGCCCCAAGCCCTGCCTATAAACCCCCCAAAGGCCCTGCGTAGGACCCTGGTCTAAGGAGTCATACTCGGACCCCCTAATTTTGTTGTGAATGGAGAAGGAACATACATTTAAGAGGTTCCCTTCATATCCTCCAAAGGTGGCCCTTATCTATGCCCTGAGGGGATCTTTAAAACACCCCTAAACCCTAAACCCTAAACCCTAAACCCTAAACCCTAAACCCTAAACCCCCCAAACCCAAGGGTGCAACCCAAGGTAGAGGGCTAAAGCCCGCAAGGACCCCGCTTTAGACTGCAGGGCCCGAGCTGCAGGGACTCATCCTCGGTGAGATTCAGCTCCCCAAGCCTCAACCCCAAACCCTAAACCCTTCAGGGTTCAGGGTTCAGGGTTTAGGGTTTAGGGTTTAGGGTTTAGGGTTCAGGGTTTAGGGTTTAGGGCTTCAGCCTCTGTTCACCACCAAGGAGGCGCAAGTCTCAGGGGGCTAAGGGTGGAAGGGGCGGCATTTCGAAGGCTAGTAGTCATTTTAATACAATCTTGATTGTGCTTGTTGTTATTGCTATTGTGATTGTTATTGTTATCGTTCTTGTTATTGTTGTCATTATTATTGTTACTATTATTGTAATTCTTGTTCTTGTTATTATGATTACTGTTTTACCAGTACTATTCTGCATACTACTGTTGGTATGCTGGGGGGTTCGATTTCCGCGTGTGGAAAACTTATCGCAAGGAGTCGGGGCCCTCTCAGTTCGGGCCCTGAAGGTCCGAAAAGAAAATTGGGAACGCCTTCGAAAACCCAACCCCCATCAATCCACCCCCTTTACGCCTCACCTAACCCTAAACCCTCAACCCTCAACTCTAAACCCTAAACCCTAAACCCTAACCCCTAACCCCTCAACCCTAATCCCCAAACCCTAAACCTCCTCAACCCACAAACCCATCTCCGCACACAGCCGCTGCGAGCGCCTCGCCGTGCGTGCCAGGAGCTCGGTGCCGCGCAGCAGAGAGAGGCGACCGGTGGAGGCCTCGAGCTTTGAGGCTCTGAGGCTAAGGAGTTTAGGGTTTAGGGTTTGGGATTTAGGGTTTAGGGTTTAGGGTTGAGGGTTAGGGCGGGTTTTTAAGGCGGGTGGTTTCGAGGAGGGAATAAGGTTTGAGGGCATTGAGGTCCATGGAACTGAGGGGTTTTGAAAGATGAAGCCGGAGGAAAGTTCGATGATGATGATGACGATGATGATGGTGACGATGGTGACGATGATGATGATGATGATGATGATGACGACGACGATGATGATGATGATGACGATGACTAGACGATGACGATGATGATGATGATGATGATGATGATGAGCAGGATGAGCTACTGCAGTGAACTCTGGGTAGGGACAACACCTGACATACGCGCAACCCCTTGAGGAGCTTTTTGAAGCCTCTGCGACTCTGCGATGTTCCATTACCCAACAATTTTTCATAACCAACAGCGGGATCCTCACGGCAAACAACAACCAACCCCTTTTCTCCAACATGCTCAAAACACCTGCCCAGGCGAAATAGGGCCCAGCCGCACCCTGCAGAGATTGGAGCAGCACGGCCACCGACCGACCGGCGGGCAGCGCCTCCTTGAGAACCACCTGCAAGAAGTTTTTCGGGGAACTAACTGCTAGCCTTTAAGGCTTTATAGAAGCTTGCATTTGTCGCTTGAGGGCTCGGACTCTTGGGCCTGGGCAGAGCGCAACAAGGTCTTCCAAGCTTCAACCTATAAATTTCTACATCCCCTCTACGCCCCACGAGACTTGACACTGTAGGGATGGCTGGACCCTAAACTCAAGGCCTAGGCCGCCCCCTACGGCGCAAGGTCGTTCGCCCGCCTCCCACAACTCGGAGGTCGGTAGCCCCCTTATTCAAGTCAACATGCCCCAAGCGGGAGGGCAAAGCCTGTTCGCGATTCTTGGACCCCAAAACCCCCGTAGCACCGTTCCTGGGAGACCCCTCGCGAATCTGAGACTTAACAGCTGTTGGAGCCATGGGATCTTGAGACCCGCCTGCCACCTCGGCGATGACCTCGCTTGGACCGCCCAACCCAAGCTCCCCCCTGGGACAGCCTGTTCATCTTCATCAATTCCTGAGGCCACAACAACCCTCTGAGTTTATGGCCACAAAAAAAGGGAATAGGTTTGAGTGAGCTTCGCACCTGGCGAAGCTTTCGAGCCTATCCTGCATCCCAACCTTCACACCATCTGCGCCACGTTACAGCAAAACCTAAACCCTAAACCCTGAACCCTAAACCCTAAACCCTAAACCCTAAACCCTCAACCCTAAACCCTAGGAGCTTGGGGGCCCCGCCTCGCCGGAGGGGGCCAGGATCCGCACCGGAACCAAGGGCTCGGGCTCCGGAGGAGCTTCTCTCGCTGGCAAAGCCATCATGACAATTGGCGGGGGGGGGGGGGGGGGGGGGGGGGGGGGGGGGGGGTGGGTTAGGGTTTAGGGTTTAGGGTTTAGGGTTTAGGGTTTAGGGTTTAGGGTTTAGGGTTTAGGGTTTTAGGGTTTTAGGGTTTTAGGGTTTAGGGTTTAGGGTTTAGGGTTTAGGGTTTAGGTTTCCTGTAGGGTTTAGGGTCTAGGGTCTAGGGTCTATGGTCTATGGTCTAGGGTTTAGGGTTTAGGGTTCCGGTTCCACGGGCCTTGAAGGGATGTGAGCCTGTAAGACAAGGGAACGCGGACACGACCGGGCATCCTCGAATCCCGCAACCCCTTGAAGCACGAGCCCAGCCGAGTCACAAAAAACCCTGAACCCCGAAACCCCTACCCCTACACCCGAGGCCCCACAGACCTGAAGCCCAAAGCCCTGAAGGCCCCCTTAAGCCACCCTCCCTCTCACCCACGCTCCCAAACTTCTGAACCCCTTCTTGGAGGTTCATGGGTTAGAAGGAGGGTTATAAGTACCCTGAGTGGAGTTATATAAGCATAATTACCTAAGCATAATTACCATACTTATAACCCGAATTATAAACACCCGTGAGCCTCCAAGTAAGCGGTTTAGCTTGTCAGGGGCTAAGGTGCTCCTGGTCACCATGATGCCCCGGAACCCTGCAAACCTACAAACCCTGAAGCCCTGAAACCTCAAAACCCTGAAACCCTTGAATCCCTGAAACGCTAGAGCCTTGAAACCCTCACAGGCCCCAGGCACTCAAGCCTTGAAACCCTCAACCCTAAGCCTGAAACCCCTGAAACCCCTGAAACCCCTGAAACCCCTGAAGCCCCCGAAAGCCCTGAAACCCCTGAAGCCCCTGAAACCCTCAGAGGCCCTAAACCCTAACCCTAAACCCTAAACCCCTGAAACCTCTGAAACCACCGAAACCCCTGAAACCCTAAAGCCTTGAAACCCTCATAGGCTCCAGGCAGCAGCCGCCCAAAGGAACCGCGGCCTGCACAGAGTGGGGCAAGTCCTGTGTGAAACCAGGGTTGGGGCTTCAGGGTGTAAGGTTTAGGGTTTAGGGGAAGAGTAACCCGGGAATAGAAATGGTACCCAATGCTAGGGTTGAGGGTTCGGGGTGTAAGGTTTAGGGTTTAGGGAAGAGGGACCCAGGAATAGAAATGGTACCCTTTTGGCTTAAAGGGGCTTCGAAGGGAACCCCCCCACCGCCCAAAAAAAGTAATAAGGGCCTACTCTGGGCCCGCGTGTGTAGGGTACAAGTTAGGGCAAAATATGACCCTTAAAATGCCAGAACTGCGAGTAGGTTCGATGCTTTTGACTCGGCTGGGCAAACAATCCTCGTTAGAGCTGGGGGGTCGCCCTGAAGCAAAACAAGCTCGCCTTTGTTGGCTTGGGCCTCCCATCAGGCCTGAAAGCCGAAAACCCTAACTCCTAAGCCAAAGCCTGAACCCTAAACCCTCCAAAGCCGTAAGCCCCAAACCCTAAAACCTAAACCCTAAATCCTCAAATGTAAGGCTGAAGGATGCTTATATCTAAATTTATCGGTCTACTATCTAAATGTTTGCCTTCAAGCCAAGGGGACTTCAGGGCTTTGGGGGTTGGGTCGAGGGAGCCTCGACTCCCCAAACACCCGCGGAAACAAAGGTACGCTCTACGTTGCAGGGGGGGGTCCCAGCCGAAGAACAAGCCTGAAAATCGCTGACATTCAGGGGTTAGGGTTTTGGGTTTAGGGCTTAGGGTCGTAGAGCCGTACCCCCACGCCGGTCAGACTTGGACCGTTTTCCCGTTGTCGGGTCTGGGCAGTTTGGGCTTCGCATTTAAGGTTTTGGGCCTTGGGTGGGTTTAGTTTAGGGCTTAGGGCGCAGGAGAAGACCTGATCCAGGCAAAGAACCGCGCCTATCTCGAGCGTGGTCTGAAAGGCTTGGCCCTGCCAACGGAGGCATTCTGCGCAAGCTACCGTTGAAGACCTGCATCCCTGAAAACTCTGAGCCCTGCCCCAATTCCCTCAAAACTCTAAACTCTGCCCTAAAACGCTGGAATGCTTGGGTACCCCAAGCCATCCTAAACCCTCCTACACCTCCTCACCCTAAACCCTAAACCCTAAACCCTAAACCCTAAACACAGACCCCAAAACCCTAAAACCCCGAACCTTACAGGCTTTAGGGCCAACGGAAGCCGAGGGTTTGGGCTTTTGAGAGGCGATCTCGCGTAGGGGCTTGGGGCTTACGGGGCCTTGGGGGACGTAGGTTTAGGGTTTAGGGTTAAGGGTTTGGGGTTTAGGGTTTTCGGGTTCACTAGGACTTACCGGGTTTCGGATTCTTAGCTCAAGGCGTCCAGCAGCATGTTAAACCTAAACACCTTGCAGGCTTTCACTTTGCCAAAGCTGCAAGAAGGTGTGTGTGTGTGTGTGTGACCTGGGGTGCAACGACACAAAGTACCAGGGAAGCAGATACCACAGTGGCCGAGGGCGATGCAACGTCTGTCCGCATGGGATTACCCAAACTCGACGCCGTACTATAGGGGTTCAGAATCATTACTACTTGCATTCCCTTATGACCCCCTACATGAAGTTACGAGAATGCCCCCCCAAAACCCTGTTCCAATTCGTAAGGCCCCTATATTACACTGAACCCAAAAAATTAGTTTTAGCGGCTTCTGAGTGATATACAGTACCCAAAGAATGCGAAATTCTTCCCAAGAATCCCTAAGTTTACGCCCCCTCTTGCAGCACACTGCCGACCTGCCTCGGCGAAGCCGTTGAGGGCACCGGGGAGCTGCGAAAGAGGGCACCCAGGAGGATGGGAGGCTTCAAGGGCTTGAGGGGTTGGGGGATATGACATTGCTTAGTGGGGGGGGAGCGCGGCATGGCATGGTATCGTTTCGTTCGTATCGTATGGTATAGTACAGTATATCGTATGGTGTAGCGTAGCGTAGCAAAGCAAATAGCATCGTATAGTATAGTCTAGTATGGTATGGTATAGTATAGCACAGTACATTATAGTAGAAAACAGTATAAGTATAGCATGATCCAAAAAGATAGGAGAGTCAAAACCCAAACACCACATCTAATTAGATAGGACCGTCAAAACCGAAACACCATACATCGGTATACACACACACACACACCGGTGTACACGACCACACCACACCCCCAGAAGTGCCGCTGGATGTAGGGCAGGCCTACACGGGTTCACGTGCGTCCCTTCTCATACGAGCAGAAAACTGACAGCGCGCAAAAGCCTTGCACAGACTTCTCAACCCTGGGTGGCACGAGCCTCCGCCACAGCTTCAGCCACCCGCTTGCGAAACTCGAAAATGAAGCCTGTGCCGGGCACACTCGCGCATTAGAAGGTTTAGGATTTGGATTTGGGCTTTAGGGTTTAGGGTTTAGGGCTTTTGGGTTTAGGGTGTAGGGTTCAAGAAACAAAGGCTGCTGCTGACCGAAGGCCCAAAACCCGACCGGGCACCAAAGACCACACCGTCCGCAAGCCCCCGCTGCCATCGCACGAAAGGTGCCCACATGGGAGTTTACGAAAATAGGGTTTAGGGTTTAGGGTTTAGGGTTTAGGGTTTAGGGTTTAGTAGGGTTTAGGGTTTAGGGGTTAGGGTTTAGGGTTTACCCCCAAATAGTAGGATCCCCTTATTCAGAGGACCCCGATAAGGTACCCCGAATTTCGGAAACCCCGACATGATCAGCCACATGATCCCAAAGGCCTCAACACCGAACCCGCAAGGGGCAGCTGGCACTTAATTGACAAAGAATTTCCCCTCGAAAGCCCTTGTTTCAAAACCCAGAAGATCCCGGAAATAGCTTCTAATTGAGGACCTTGAGTTCAGCCCAGCTGGGGGCTCTGGCTTTTCATGATGAACAGCTTCCTCTCCAGCGATCCTCCGGCGATCAGAGCGTAGGACTGGGGCGCTTAGGCTTTCGGCTTGCGGGCGCTGCAAGAAGAGTTCAGGTGCGACATTTACAGAAAACAATTGTAGGAACTGAACAAGCATATGAAACATTACAGTCTGTATGAAAATCCACCTGCCCATACAACCAACGAGCACAGTTTGCTTGCCACACTGGCCATGCAGTAGACGGGCATGACAGGGTTTAGGGTTTAGGGTTTAGGGTTTAGGGTTTAGGGTTTAGGGTTTAGGGTTTAGGGTTTAGGGTTTAGGGTTTAGGGTTTAGGGTTTAGGGTTTAGGGTTTAGGGTTTAGGGTTTAGGGTTTAGGGTTTAGGGTTTAGGGTTAGGGGTTTAGGGTTTAGGGTTTAGGGTTTAGGGTTTAGGGTTTAGGGTTTAGGGTTTAGGGTTTAGGGTTTAGGGTTTAGGGTTTAGGGTTTAGGGTTTAGGGTTTAGGGTTTAGGGTTTAGGGTTTAGGGTTTAGGGTTAGGGGTTTAGGGTTTAGGGTTTAGGGTTAAGGGTGTAGAGCGCTCAAGTGGGGGAAGTGCCAGGGGGAAGTTTGGGGCTCCTTGCGCTCTCCAAAACAAGCCGCGAAACATGGCAAGGTGCGGTGCTTTACCGGGACCTTGCTAACAGGTTTAGGGTGTAGGGTGTAGGGTTTAGGGTTTAGGGTTTAGGGTTTAGGGCTGCACTCGCTGCCAGCCGCGCGAATCGGTCCACCCACTCCGGGGGACCCTGCCGCGCGCGCAGGTCTTCCGCAAAGCGGGCAGCAGCTCAGCTTGAAGGTGTCCGACGCCCATCCGGGGTACTCGTCCAACCATGTCAAGCAGCACGGCGTTGGTCGACTACAACTCGGTGTGTCCCAGGGATATCGTCTCGACTCACGTAAGCTGTGGCTCCAGGCCGGGTGGATCTGGTCTGGCCGGCGGCCCACTCCAGTCCTGCGATTCGACAGTCCTGCGATTCGACTCCGACACGCAAGACCCCTCCTAGCTTCACCGCGGCGCATGGGTGCGCAAAGACAGTCTTGCAAATCTTCCAAGCGTCGCGCCTCGTCATAAACGTTCAGATGCAAAGGTGTCATGCACGGCTCCGGCATCCGGATTCATGTGGGTTCATGTACTGGAAACCACGGCAATTGGAATGCGCGGCAGGGTTGCCTCGCTGAGCTAGCCGGAGTAAGTGGCTCAAACCCTATAGCACTCAATGAATGTGCATCGTGCGCGTTCTTTGGGACGTTTTCCCACTGGAAAGCCACTGCAGCCCACATCGCAAGCCAGGACGTAACTTCCGTTTGGAGCGGTGGAGTGTCCGAGGAGTTGACCTAGCACCCCGGGAAGCTTGGCAGCCGCCCCTCAATCAAACTCATGGCCGCTTGGGCGCGAGATTCGGGAGTGCGCGTGCAGGCACTTCCTCACAAAACCGACTTCAACAGTTTTCAGCACAAGCTGCACCAAGGTTTATTTTAAGAAGGCCTCTACAGCCCTTAGAATCCTCAGGTCCATCATTTCCTTGAGCAACTCTGGCTCCGCTCCTGCTTCGGCTTGTCCGTCCGAGGTCTCACCCCCGCCTGCGCTCCACGAGTTCACTTTTAGGAAGTTCTTAACGTTGAAAATCTTAAATGCTTCTTAAGAGCCGATTCCCTCCTACTCTCTGTAGGGGAAACTGATCTACGAGATATGGGAAAACCTGCTAATCTACTGGATGTGGGCGGATTTCCCCCTAGATGTAGTTGGCGTGCATGCGCCTAGTCAGACGCCGAAGGAACCCAAAGCACAAGCAAGCCAAGCCCCTTGAGCTCTTCCCGCCGCTGCCGATGTTTCTTCGACCGATCCTCCCCTGCTGTCCACATCAGACCCTAACACTCTGCCAACGAGTCCTGCTTGGAAAATCATGGTACTTGTTGACCAATTACAACTGCACTTCTAACCCACTTATACACCCCGTAACTGCCCGATATGGTTAAAATTGGGTTAGAAGTACAGTTGGTATTGGGTTAACAAGTACCCTGAGCCTCCGAGTGAATAGCCAGCATGCAAGCCCTTCAATGCTAAGAAGAGACCTTGAATCCAATCCTAAACCCTAAACCCTAAACCCTGAACCCTGAACCCTGAACCCTGAACCCTAAACCCTAAACCCTAAACCCTCTCACTAGGCCGCATGCCAACGCCCCCAAGTTTCCGGCAGGGCTCTACACCCGCTGGCCCACCAAAAACCTGGCAAGGGCCATGGGCCATGGCAGTCCAGGGACTTCAGGCTACACGATACTAATATAATAATGTAGTAATCATATAATAACTATACTATTACATTAATATGATAAATGGTACTATAAGGATACTAGCAGGTCGTCTAGGGGCTTCAGGATTCGGTATGTACTGGCATCATCAGGGAGTAGAACGGCTTTGAAGGGCTTCGGGAGGGGAGAGTTTCGATGGAGGTTTGGCTTGTTGGGACTCAGGGTTCAGGGGTGGAGGGTTTAGGGGTTTAGGGGTTTAGGGGTTGAGGGGTTTAGGGGTTTAGGGGTTTAGGGTATAGGGTTAAGGGCTTCGCCTTTAGGGAGTTCGTGAATGCGCCGATCTTGCTCTCTTGAGCTCTACTTTGCAGTCCTGTCTCCCTGAGCCCGAAGCCTTGGCAGTCGAAGGCCACCCTGTGAACCGCGGTTTTGGGATTCGGGTTTTGGGTTTCGAGCTATCCTAAACAAAAAATCGGAGATGAGCTATGAAAAGGAACATGATACTCATCATAACCATAAAAATGCTCTAACAATCAAAATACTGATAATCCTAAAACATACTAATCAGCAGTAGCAGTAGCAGTAGCAGTAGCAGTTGTTGTTGTAGAAATAATCAGCATAACAAAGTCAACCGAAGAGCTGAGGGCGCCTGGGGCCACAGTTCGGGACTCCGGAGCTTGGGCCGCAGAAACTGCGACAGCTCCCGCTGGACCTCTCAAGGAGGGCGGTATAGAACCCAAGGTTTAGGGTTTAGGGTTTAGGGTTCAGGGTTCAGGGTTCAGGGTTCAGGGTTCAGGGTTCAGGGTTCAGGGTTCAGGGTTCAGGGTTTAGGGTTTAGGGTTTAGGGTTTAGGGTTTAGGGTAACCTAAGGTTCCCCAATACTCCCCACGCATCCCTAAGGCTCCCTACGCTTCCCTAAGGTTCCCGAGAGGTACCCCCCATGAACCCCCTCCCTTACGAACCCTATGACTCCGGGGGCGGTATTTGAGGGTTTCCGGTTGCAGGGCTTGGGGCTTTAGGGTTCATGGTTTAGGGTTGGGATGTTCCCCCTTGTACTAGCAGTTCTGAATAGGGATTAGAATACGGGGTACTCTAGTCCCTATTAAGGACTGATACTATGAGGGGGAACATCCCAACCCCAAACCCTAAACCCTAAAAGCCTTCGAAACACTCTGAATTTTGATCACTACTAAAGTTACAGGGATCTAACCAACTGCAGCTTGCACATGCAACCACGAAATCAAAAAAAGTAAACAAAATAACTATACCCCAAACTCTAAACTCAAGACAAGAAGAAGCTGCCGCAGGCCCTAGAGGCATTGGATGTAACAGGTCCCCTGTGGAGGGCAGTCTGGAGATACTTTTCGGAGGGTGGAAAAATTACTGAGAGTATTCCCTTGTGGTCCCTCTATAATTATACTACCATAACCCCTAAAATAAACCCTAAACCCTATTCACAGTATTAAGGCCCTTGTAGTACTTTTCGGGGGGCAGGGGGGGTCTGGAGCCCGAGGCTTTGGCCAACCGAGGGTTGTCGGGCTTTTTGAGCTCAGGATCGAGGGGGGAGGGGGGGAGGGGTTTCAAAGGTTTAGGGTTTAGGGTTTAGGGTTTAGGGTTTAGGGTTCAGGGGTTTTTGGTTTAGGGTTCAGGGTTCAAGGTTTAGGGCTTAGGGTTTAGGGTTTCGGGTTTCGGGTTCTGCTCGCCTCCTCACGAGCTTTGGCGAGGCGCAGCTCATCCAGCAGGACAAGCCTGCGAAGTTCAGCGGTTTAGGGTTTACTTGGAGGTTAATGGGTACTTAGAAGTAGGGATACAAATGCCCTTCATGGGGTTAGAAGTATCATTAGCATACTTATAACCCTACTTATAACTACCCATGAACCTCCAAGTAGGGTTTAGGGTTTAGGATTTAGGGGGGGGGGGGGGGGCGTCCGGGTTTTAGACGCAGAATTCCCAAAACGTCTGAGTGGCCTTGGGTCTTGTTGCCGACTCTACGTCTCAACCCGAAGCCCGAAGCCCTGAAAGTGCTGCCCGAATTCTGACGTGCTACCCTAAACCCCGAAATCTTCAACCCCCGAAATCTTTCAGATTTTCACAAGAGAATTTCCGGGTCTTGGGCGTTGGGGGTTGTGGGGTGTTGGGCTTTGGGGCTCCGGTTTCTGGCTTGTGGGCGACTGGGACCCCGACTCCAGACGCGCACGGAGGGCCGACACCTTGATTCAAGGGGTATAAGGAGGGACGCCTAGAAGGGAGCCTTAAATCTGGTTCCCCTACATAACCCCTCTGTATACCTCATGTAGTCCCTATCTACCTAAGTAGCCCCTAAATCACCCCCAAATATCCCCTAAGGTCCTTTATAAGGGTCCCTCCTTGAGTCCCTTGACTGATGGCGCGCACGGCTAGGAACTCACGGCCGGTGGTTGCTTCACTCTTCTCAATCTCATCTCAATCTCTCTCTCCGCTGCTCTTGACGTCACTTCTCTCGTCTTCGTCAAGATCTCCGTGTCTCTTAACTCCACTTGGAAAAAACTAGCCACTTAACCCTGAACCCGAAGCCCTAAACCCTAAACCCGAAAACCCCAAGCTCCAAGGTTCACCCATTGAGGGCCAGGCTTTGGCCGGCCCGGCCCTGGTCCCAGCTGGAGATATGGTAAAACGAGAGGGGTTTGTTTGTTTGTGCGTGTTAGGGTTTAGGGTTTAGGACCTAAAGTTTAGGGCGGATGCTGTTGTTTGCGGCGGTACCTTCGTCGGGGGTATACGCTTGGGCTCACTGTGCCTCAGACGACCCATGCCCCCTGCCAATACCCAACAACCAACCAACCAGAACGCGTTCAGCATCCTTCCCGTCAAGCTCCATCATCCGGGTCCTCGACTCAACCCCCTTAAGACCACCTGGATCCCGACAGTCCCAGAAGCCTGAACCCTCAACACCAAAACGCTCGCACTAAACACCCTAAACCCATCACTTGAAACTTCTGATTCGCCCTAATTCTAAGCCCCGCGCAAGCTGTGGGTCTGGGTCTCGGGCCATAGCCGCCAGACCACCGACAGGAGCTGCCTGGAAAGGAGGGTTTCAGGCGTTGGGGTTTGGGATTTGGGGTTTCGGGCTCAGGTCGCTGGGTTTAGGGTTTACGGTTAGGCTTAGTTTGCGAGCCTAATTCCGCAACGCTTCCCTCGGCTACCTTCCGACTTCAACCCAAATGCTGAACAGTTCAGAGTGCCCCCTCCCTCTCCAAAAGAAAATCCGTCAACATTGTAACTTTGTAAGCTAGCGGCCCCAAATAGATCGCAACTCTCCACGGGACCGACCCACAACCTCAAAACCATGAAGGCCCCGAAAACCCTAAACCCGAAACCTGAAGCCCTAAACCCTACATCCTAAACCCTAAACCCGACACCCTAAACCCTAAACCCGACACCCTAAACCCTACACCCTAAACTCTACAGCCCTCAACCCTACAGCCCTCAACCCTACACCCAAGATCCACTGAGGGCCCCTCCACCGCTCCAGCCCAGTGAGGTGCCGGTGCCAGGCATCCAGGCTGCGCGCCTCGTTCGGCGTGGTGGGGGGGGGGGGGGGGCTTAGGGTTTAGGGTTTAGGGTTTAGGGTTTAGGGTTTGGGGTTTGGGGTTTAGGGTTTGGGGTTTAGGGCTTGGGGCATACGGCTTAGGGTTTTTGGGTGTAGCTAAGGGGTTTCTGGGTGGGGGATGGCTGGGCTCAGGTTTGCAAGACGAGTAGCGGTATAAGGGAACCCTGATCCCAACCGCCGGCCTGGATCCGAGACTGGGCTATGGACAGCTCCTGGGCCATCGCCTGGGTGACCACCTGCGTGCCCCAAGCTCAAAGCCCCGACCCCTGGGAGGATCCACAAAGAAGATCCCTGGAAGGGTTCCTAAACATGACCCACTTGTTGTATAGGGGTACTAGTTTTTGGGGCTCTACTTTTTGGATCCTCCCAGGGGTCTGGGAAGACTCGCAAGATCTTAGGGGGACTGCTGTGGCATGCGCAGCAAAGCCTAAACCTCTGGGTTTTTTCGGGCCATCTGCGGGCCAGAATGTTGGGCCTGCTGTCACGGAACGTAACTACAACAGGGAAGGAAGCCACGTTTCTAGAAATCCCCTATGAGCAGCAAGCCATTTTGAAAACCCCAAACCCTAAACCCCAAACCCTAAACCCCAAACCCTAAACCCCAAACCCTAAACCCTAAACCCTAAATAGTAGCCAGGCTCCGAGTCGGGGCAGGTTCACGAGCAGTTCTCGACCATTCGTCCCGTCAAGCTGCTAGTCTAAGAAGACTTCGGGATGCTCAGACATGTTGCCCACGTTCTATCTCTGACATCTCCAAACCAGCTATAGGCTTTCAGGGCATTTGGGGCTCTGGAGTGTTTCTGGTTTGGGATTTCGGGTTCAGGGTTCTTTGGGGGCCTGAGATGTGATCTCGGACTCTAGGGCCCTTGTAAACAACAAGACAGCTCTAGGGGATCGGGCAATCCTCCTCGCACTCTCGCAGGCCCCGCCTGATGTGAAGAACTGGGCGCGATCTCCGGAATGTGCGGTGGAGGGTCCGCCGGCATTTCCTTGAGCGGGTCTGCTTAGTTAGGGCAGATCCCAACTGTCGCCGCGGCTGCTCGCGCGGCAGATCACGACTGTTCTTGCGATTCTGAACTGAAAGGCAAGTTTTCAGTTTTTAGGAAGGCTTGCGGACGCGGGCATGTGAGTGCGTGCGCTTGCAGTAGCACTCGCTTGGTGTTGATGCTGCACGTATGTTAAACCGATGGATGCAGCAGCGGCAACGATGCATTTTGCCCGGATTTCCCCCACCCTAAACCCTAAACCCTAAACCCTAAACCCCAAACCCTAAACCCTAAACCTTGAATGAAGGCCATTCGCCTGCTTTCTTGACGCGGCCGAGAGAATGGGCAGCTCCACAGCATCCGGCGGCAGAGGGTCCTTTCGAGTGGGTTCAGGCAGAAGAGGCGAACACACGCCTGGCTTGAACATGTGGCTGGTTCTTATGATGACTAGATGCTGCGTTTTATCAGGGTGTGCGTGTGTGCTTCATCTTCGCAATTCCCAGCGTTCTTTCGATGCACATCCTTGGGAGATCGTGACAGTTAGCGGCAACTAGCGCGTTGCACAGTGCAAAGTTAAAAAGCTTCCATTGCTACTTTGAGCATTGAGCTGCACTGCCACTCATAACTCGATATCAACAACCTATAGGGGCCTGAATAATTAGAACAGGGTTTTGGGGGGTTATATAATGATATAGTATAATTACAAAGGGACCCTAAGGGAGTACTATTAGTAATTATTCCGAGCCCTATATTAGGGGCTTGGGCCCTTAGCTGAGAGCTGAGCCAGGGACTTCACACGCGGATGCAGCCCGACCCAGAACTAACCCAGAACAAACCCTCAAACCCTCAACCCGCGGTGATCTAGATTACGATGGCCTTGCTGAGGTCTCCATTCTAGAAGACTCCTTTCAGTTGATAATTAAAAAGGCCACAACCTAGATTAACCTGCGTATCCTGAACCCCGACACCTTAAAATTTCACCCCTAAACCCTACTTGGAGCTTCATGAGTAGTCAGAAGTAGGGTTATCAGTAGACGTATCAGTATGGCAATTATACCTATAACCCCATTTAGGGTACTTATAACCCTACTTATCACCCTACTTACAATTAACCCTACTTATAACTACCCACGAACCTCCAAGCAAGCCCAAAACCTCGAGAGTCCTTGGGGGCCAGGGCCGCCACCAGGTCCGACGGGCGCTCCGCGACCGGTGGCTTCTCGGAGGTGCGCGGCGGGTGCTTTGGGCGTTCTTTTGGCTTTGGGGGCTTTGGGCTTTGGTTTAGGAGGGGGGGTTCATGGGGGGTTGGTACCTAGGGGCCTTAGGGAGTAGTGGGGAGTATGGTTATGTTGCCTTTGGGAGGTTGGGTTTTTAAGTTCAGGTGTTTGGGTCAAAAGGTTTGTTTAAGGGTGTTAGGTGTCATTTGCAGGTTTGCTTTGGGATATGGGATGGGGTGAAGCATCCGGGAAGACTTCGCATGATATTCATCGAAACAGGCCGTTGCAAACCGGCACCAACACATACAAGCACGATCTCTCGAATAGCAGCAGCGTTTCACTTACACTTGCTGAAGCAAACCTCTGAATCCTTTTTACCAGAACTCGCCTGAAATCAGCGTTCGCAAGTATGTCCAATATATGGGGCCGATTCAATCGGAAGAGTATGGGGTTTAGGTACTAGGGCCTATTGAAATACGCGGGGATGTTTCATCAAGAGGGAACGATTCAGGCCCCTGCATAGAGATCCATGTCATAAAGCTATCCTGAAGTCGGTTCCACCGTAACCTAGGGCCTAGGAATGAAACAGAAACCCTTCTCGGTTCCATGGGGGCTTCATATTATAAGGGAACCTAAAGGACACACGCTGGAGTCCCAGCAAGCCCTCTCACAGCGAGGCGGCGGAAAATCGGAGCCTGCGGCTCCGGGGCTGCTGTGGGAGCCTGCGGCTCAGCCTCGGGCCAGGGCGGCACCTCGCCCAAGGACGCGAGGATCCCAGCATCCTAAGTCAAGACCATCCTCTCGCAATCCTGTTTAAGTAGCAACATAGCCTACCCCAAAGCAGAACACAACGAGCCCCAAAAAGTAATTCCAACTGAGTAGACTCCTATATTGGGGGGCACGCGTGGGCATGACTCCTTGGCACTTCATAAGCAACCGCCAGCAAGATTTGCTACTTTAGAGCTTTGTGGAGTTGACCGCCAGCAAGATTTGCTACTTTAGAGCTTTGTGGAGTTGTGAGAAGGCCTTAAACCAAGATCTGTACTGACGCCCGTTCCTTTTTCATGACGAGTGTCATATTGATCATGTGATGTGCGGTGATGGTTGTTGTGGCAACAGTTGCGATGCTGCGGGATCGTACAGCAGAAAAGCATGGTAATGCTGTGAAGTGCCCCCTCTAACCCCCCCTCCAAACAGAGCTTAGCTTCGGAACGTGATAAGGCGATTGGGAAGGAGGAGGGATGGGTTTCCCACATGGGGCTTATCTCTGAGAATCTGAGCTGACGGGTGGGGAAAGACAGACAAACTCTTCACTAAACCCCAAGCCCTAAGCCCTAAACCCTAGGCTCTAAACCCGAAACCCTAAACCCTAAACCCTCAACCCTCAACCCTCAACCCTCAACCCTAAACCCTAAACCCCAAGCCCCAAGCCCTAAATCCTTGGCCCTAAACCCTAAACCCTAAACCCTAAACCCTAAACCCTAAACCCTAAACCCTAAACCCTAAACCCTCAACCCTAACCTAAGGTGGCCCTTTGGCCTCCGCCCCGCAGGCACTCGCCGCCTCCCTGGAACGTGGCTCCTGCTCATCGGCTAAAAGATCCAGGGTTTAGGGTTTAGGGTTTAGGATTTAGGGTTAAGGGTTTAGGGTTTAGGGTTTAGGGTTTGGGGTTTGGGGTTTAGGGTTTGGGGTTTAGGGTTTAGGGTTTAGGGTTTAGGGTTTAGGGCTTGGGAGTGCTTGGAGAGGATCAGTTGTGGTTCCGGGGCCTTTGGCTTTGGGGGCTTTTGAAGGTTTGGGGCTAAACCTCTAAAGCCCCACCATCCCCCAAACCCTTAGGCCAAGAACTACTGTAGAGATGGGGAGGCTATTTGGGAGTCTATATTGGGGGTCCCCTACTCTTGAAAACCGCCTTAATCCCTTCCCCCTATTATTAAACGGGCGGTCCCCCCCCCCCCCCCTCCAATAGAAACTCGACATGTGTTTTTAATGCTAAGGGGATGTTTTTATCCATGTGTCATGTTTGGGTCCAAAGGGTTGAGGGTCTGGGCTTCAGGGTTTGGAGGCTTTAAGTACTCAATCGGGTTTAAACTGAAAGAAAGAGAAAAAGAGAGAGAGAGAGAGAGAGAGAGAGAGAGATGGAGATGGAGATGGAGATGGAGAGACAGAGAGAGAGAGAGAGAGAGAGAAAAAAAAAAAACAAAAACGACCCACTCACGCAGCACAGCAAGGCTCGGGCAGAGGCTTTGCAGCCACTCACTCACACGCAAGCAAGGTATCTGCAGGATGTTGGTTGGTTTGCGGGTTTTGGGAGCCCTCCACCCACCCCCTAATTCGGAATAGGATTAAAAGGCAGGGTCGGTCTCGGCAGGACTCTCCGGCAAATGTTTTTTTTTAGTTAGGGGTACGTTTACTACTAGGGGGAAGCGATGATGATCCCCTTGAAGGATCCCCTTGTTACTACAAATAATTGAACATGCTTCGCCCCTAAACCCTAAACCCCAAACTCTTCAGGCTCCTGTATGTGTGGCTCGGGCTCCCGAGCGACACGGGAGCGCCGCGGCTCCTTGAGAGAGCGGCGGGGGCAAGTGCTTCAGGAAAGGCAGAAGGGGTTTAAGGTTTAGGGTGTAGGGTTTAGGGCCTGTGGGTTCAGAATATGATGTGTCTCGCGCAGGTGCAGGAATCACCGTGGGTACATCCCAAGCACTATGGTTCGCGACTTAGGGTTTATGCAGTGTTTATACGGCTCACATGACCCCTACAAGACATCCGACAAAGTCGGACCTACTCCGCTGAGGTGGATGCCTTGGGGAGTGTATCTACAACGGGCTTGCTTAGTTTGGACCAATCGCCCCGTGTATGTATCATAGTATCACCACTATCATCCCCCCTTGGGATGTTCCCCCTTATACTAACAATCCTTAATTGGGATTATGATGGGGGTACTATAATCCCTATGAAGGACTGTCAGTATAAGGGGGAACATCCGAAATCTCCCCTTTATCATCCCTAAACGTTACTCAAGAATTATGAAAACCCAGGACCCCCGATCCCAGAGTTGAGATAAAACCCCCTTTTGAGGGCTCAAGGAAGCCCTGGGCTTTGGGTTTCGGGTTTCTCGGCTGTTGGGGTTCAGAGTTTAGAGCTTCGGGTGTAAAGGCTTTAGGGGTTTAGGGTTTAGGCCCTTATGCTTTCTAGGATTTTGGGGTTTAGGGTTAAGAGTGTAGGGTTTGTAGGCTTTTGTGGTTTCGGGTTTAGGTGAGCGCTGTTGACAATTCAGGGTGTAGCAGTGGGCTTTCCCTGAACATGCCGCATGTTGCCGCTGCCTCTCGACGGCCAGCGATGGGCTCGTATGTCACGGGTCGCAAAGTGGCCTAGGGCGGTCGATGCGTAACTTATGAAGTATACGTTCCTGCCGCTAGTCTAAGAACAACATTCCCAACTTACCGTAAATCGTACGGCGTAGGGTTGCCTGGCCGCGCGCATGTTGCTTGACATTCTGGGGCACCAGCTTGCCGAGAGCTTCCCTCACAAATCCCAAACCCTCTTCCCTGACCCTGAAAGCCACAATCCCCTAACCCGAATCCCTGAAGTTCTGAAAGCCCCGAACGCGAACCAAAACATCCTCGAACCTTGAACTTCCCTAAGCCCTAAACCCTAAACCCTAAACCCCAAACCCTAAACCCTAAACCCCAAACCCTAAACACTAAACCCTAAACCCCAAACCCCAAACCCCAGCCCGGATCCGAGGTTCGGGGCCAAGGGCTCCATGGCGGCCATGGGCTCCTGTCTTGGGAGATGAAGCTTCTTGGGGTTTGGGGTTTAGGGTTATAGGGTTATAGGGTTATAGGGTTATAGGGTTATAGGGTTATAGGGTTATAGGGTAGGGTTATAGGGTTATAGGGTTATAGGGTTATAGGGTTAAGGGTTTAGGGTTTAGGGTTTAGGGTTTAGGGTTTAGGGTTTGTTTAGGGTTTGTTTAGGGTTTAGGGTTATAGGGTTATAGGGTTATAGGGTTATAGGGTTATAGGGTTATAGGGTTTAGGGTTTAGGGCTGGCTCTTCGTGGCTTGATGAGGGCTTACGAGGGTTTATTGGGCTTTCTGAGGGTTTTTGTATGGGGCTCTATGGGGGCCTTATTGGGGCTTCTTAAGGCTTGAGGACTTGCGGTTTCGAGATTTGATGGCGTAGGAGGCTTCGAGCTAGAGCTTTAAGATCCTACAACCTAAGCCCTAAAAAACTAACCTTCAAGACTTTCGTTTCTGTGTAGCCCAAGACCAACATTGAGGGTGTAGGTAAGCCGAAAAAACCCCTCAGCCCTGAACCCCAAACCCGGAGCCACCGTCAGCTCTCCTGCAACAAGTCGGACTTGGAGCTCGAGGCAAACGTCGACGAGCTCTCAAGGCCTTCCTGCCATGCCAGGGCGTTAAAACCGCCCTGACTTCACTATAGCATCCTGAATAATGAGTGTCCAGGCACTCTGCTGACATGTGTCGCAGCTCTGGTCTTCGCATTTAGGTCTATCAGAAAACGCACGTGTGCTCTCACACGCGCAGTCGTTCTTCCACGCTCAACACAAAGGCTCGGAACGGCAGGCAAGGCCAGAAAAAGAAGCCACACAACACCCGCAAGGTCCCGTTCTGAGCCAAGCGCTCTCGCTTGCATGCCCAGCCGCCGGCCAGGCAGGCCCATGGGCTCTGACGCGCCTCTCTGGAGGATTTAGGGTTTAGCGTTTAGGGTTTAAGGCCACACTTACAGGCAACCGAAAAGAGCTCTGTACTCTGGGCTGTAGACGTCGCACATGCAGTAAGACGTTGCGTATTACGCTGCCAGTTGCTACCAGATCCGATGGTAGTACATGACAAATCGCAACACGACGCCTACCACAACACCCAAAACAATGCGGCACACAACTTGAATCTAACGGGATGCAATGCAACATAGGATAGACATGGATCTGCATTACTTTACCGGACATTCCCTTCTATTGCATGACATCCGCAGTGCATTCGCTAAAGCTTAGCTCTGCTTCCATGATTCGACAAAGCTCAGAGTCTCACAAACCGCAGAAAGTGCCAAGCAAAAATCTGGGGGGGACGCTGCGCCGCGCAGGCGCACGCCGCCCTGGCAACAGGCAACCGAGAACTAAGACGTCATTTAACCAGGGCTGATTTTCCAAGAAACCAACCTGCCCACCAGGATACACCCCCCCCACACTATCCCTCCCCCTCCACCCAAATGGCTGACGTATGATCCCGGGTCCCCGGCTCCGATCCCCGCCCTTGGGAATTGCAGATCGACATAGATCAACATTGTGGCAAGCGTGGCACAGGCCACGACCTGTGGCCAAACTAGAGCAACATTTATTGCAGAAAGTGTTGTATGTCCGCCATTTTGCTGTCTTGATGTTAAAACGACTGCTGATGTTGCAGGGCCACACGTGTGTCGTTTTGCAGAACTCCAGTCAATATTGCGAACAGTGTGGCAGTGCCGTTGTTGTCGAAGGAACCACAGCAGTTACGAGGATAGTGACCTTGACTCATCGGAGCCCGAGGGCAGTTGATGACATGACCAAACCGACGACAGTTACGCTGATCGCGACCTCGTTTGACAGACAATGATGCCTAAACGTCTGTTTTCGCAAGAGGAGCCCCCTGTAGGGGGAAGGTACGAGAGGGTGGGGGGGAGGACGCGCAGGGTCGGAAGGGAGGGGGTAGGTAGGGAAGCATTCCTTTCAAGACTTTAACAGTCGTACCGTTACGATACCCTTAAAGATAACCCTCTCGAAACCCCAAACCCTACAGTATAATGTAGGAGCCGGAATCATTACTATTAGTATTCCCCTATGGCCCCTTTGTAGCTATACTATAAGAAACCCCGAAACCCTACTCTAATTATTAAGGCCCCTATATTGCCCTCTGCACCATGGGCTCAGCTCGATCTTATGCAGCTGGGGGGCCTTGATCGCCCCTCCACGTTGCTGCCAGCTCGTCCTGGCTATAGGTATTATATATAATTAGTTGTACTTAGCAAGGTTTCAGGATTTGGGATTTACAGGGCTTTCGACCCTTTCTGTTCGGAGCATTGTGGCCGCCTTGTCTCTTGCATAGCTCTTATGAGATACTCCCCGGCGAGAAGCTGCAGGAAAGCTGTTTTTTTTGCAAATTTCGAGATGCAAAGGTCCCCTTTTCGCAGCCCAGTTGGCATTGGTTCCCTTCCCTGCTGCGCCGGGTTTAGGGTTTAGGGTTTAGGGTTTAGGGTCTAGGGTTTAGGGTTTAGGGTTTAGGGTTTAGGGTTTCGGGTTTAGGGTCCACGCCTTGACACTCAAACCCAAAGGCGCCACAAGTTTGGCATTTGTAGGTGGTGTCGGGCAGACTCCAGGGCTGAAGGTGCAATCGGTGCAATCTTCATACTACTATATTGTATGATCATATTCTCATATTATAACATATATGCTTAATAAGAATAAGTATATATATATATATATATTCGATATAGAACTATATTCTAATCTTCATCTGCTATGTGAAATTCGTATATTCACCAAGGCGGTGTCATGCTGCAACTATAATCTCTCCTGGGTCAAAGCCCATTGCAGCTCCATGCAGGATGGAAAGCGTCGCTCCAAAATCCTCATTTTTCCTGAGCCCCAAGCCCTTGGGCCTCGAGCCCCTATAAGCCCACATAAGCCCTAAACCCCTAAGTCCTTAAACGCATTTAAACACCTTAAACCCCAAAGCCCTAACTCGTAGCATCTGGCGGCCTGCCCACCATGGCGAGCGGCGGGGCCTGTAGCGATGCAGGGAGTGCCGCAGGGAAGCAGGAGACCAGCTAAACGAACTTGAAATCCACTGCTCGGCTAAATCTGCGGGTTACTAATTTAAGAAGATGCATGCATGCATGCATGCATGGCAAACTTTAATTTGTAAAGGTGAATATATAAAAGTATACGTGACCTAATTACATACGCTTACATACATACATCAACATATATACATATGTATATGTATATGTATATGTATATGTATATGTATATGTATATGTATATATATATATACACATATTGTACATTCGTGGAATGCCGCTGCATCAGAGCTGTCGCCGCATCGCCACCCGTGTTTTCCAACATCTTGTGCGACGTTGCTGTGACATCTTCCTTGCGAGTGAATTCCTGCAGCGCGTGGAGGCCCGAACCACAGCATTAGAGGCTCAGGCCCTGCGTCTGCGATTGGAACAATCTGTTCGGCTGCCTGCGAAGAGTCAAAATGTTCTCGTGTTGATCTCGCCGCAGCAGTCCGCTGCCATGACCAGGTCACGGCAGAATGGGCGTCTCGGCTGGTGCCTCAGTGACGACGAGAGGCGCGACAGTCGAGGTGTAGCCAAAGAGCTTCTGGATCTCCCAGTCCGCCCCGGAGGCCGAGCTCTGCGCCGCCGCGGAGGTGGCCCCCGCCGCAAGAAGCATCTCCACCATGCGGGCATCATTCTGCCAGACCGCGCGCGTCAGCATGTCGACTCCGTCACCGTCATGTGGCGAGAGGTTCTTGGCCGTCTTGAGCATCTCTTCCACAGCATCATGCAAGTAGTAGTGCACTGCGTGGTACAGCGGCGTGCGTCCACGATTGTCTGCAAAGTCTGGGTCAGCTCCGTGCTCAAGCAGCCACAGGGCCCTGGCCGAGTCGCGGGCAACGCAGGCCTCAGCCAAGGGAGTCCAGCGGGGTCCACTTGTGGACACATCGTCGATGTCGGCACCGTTTGCCAGCAGTGTCTCGGCCGTTGCCGTGTCCATGCTGCGAATGGCCCGGATGAAGTCGCGGTTGAGCTGGGCCTGCTCCGCTGCTGTGATCCCCCCCGGAGCCTCAGTGGCCACAGCTGGGGCCTCGGTGGCCACAGCTGGGGCCTCGGTGGCCACAGCTGGAGCCTCAGCTGGAGCCTCAGCTGGAGCCTCAGCTGGAGCCTCAGCTGGAGCCTCAGCAGGGACCGCAGCAGGGGCCTCCTCAGCTGGGGCCGCGGCTGGGGCCTCCGCGTCCTGCAAGCGGCGAGCTCCCCGCAGACCCTTGGGGATCTCCTGCGACACGGCTCCCTGGAAGAGAGCCAAAGCCAAGCTGGCAAGGACGAGCCTGAACATGGTGCCACGCGAGGGAGGGCGCTAGCTGCTCTTTCTCGACTGTCTTTGGCTTGGGCCCAACTGTCAAGAGAGGAAAGACGATAGTCCAGCTAGGCAAGTTCTGCGAAGCGTGTGATGCAACTTATTGCAAGTTGTGCTGAGCACAAAGTTGGAAGCCGAGGTCACGACTCCCCCCTCGCTCGATGAAGCGGCGGCGGGACGTCATGACAGCCTCTGCTCAGAGATGCAGCTAAGAGTTGTTGGCAGGATAGGCCACATTCTGCCAGTAACAGAACGCTCACCCTGAAACCTCTGATTTCAAACCCTAAACCCCCTTCCATCACTACTAAAGCCTAAATAGACAAGCACCGCAGAGTTTATCCTACTGTTTAGCCTACTGAACGCTCTACCGAAAAACGGCGGGAACCCTGGAAATGGAATCGAATAGATTGCAATAATATATATATATATATATATATATATATATATATTTATATTTATATTTATTTATTTATTTATTATTTATATTTATATTTACATTTCTATTTTAATTTCTATTTATATTTATATTTATATTTACATTTCTATTTCTACTTCTATTTCTATTTCTATTTCTATTTATATTTATATTTATATTTATATTTGTATTTGTATTTATATTTATATTTGTAATTGTATTTATATTTACTTAATTAATATCTATATGTACATGTGTATATATATATATATAATATGTAGGAGTCTAGGTGCCAGGCTCCTTGTACTCCAATCATTAGAGTACTACATTCCTAAACGTTCATGGGGTTTCCCTTTCAAGGCTTCTCACAGCTCTTCCTGCAGAAAGACAAGATTTTGAGACGCGGAGGGGTCAAGGACTTCAGATTCAGCCTCTGGGATTTAGGGCTCGGGCTTGTTTAGGGCATGTGGTTTGGCTCAAGAGGTTTTCGTTTGGTCCATGGCTTTGGGAAAAGGTTTTTACGTTGCTTGCACGCAAAGAACTCATCTGGGTCTTAGTGGGTAGTTCTCTACATCAATGGTCGCTCCTGGGGTGCCTTACATATAAGAAGTCGCATGCCGCCGACATCTTGGTTCGAGTTGCGCAGTGCTTGCTATTTAGGATTCAGCGGGTCAGCCCTTAACCCTTAATCTTGAAACTCTGACCCCAAACGTGGGATGGTCCCCCTTATACCAACAGTCCTTGTTAGGACCAGGATCCAGACCCCCCATCCCGCAACCGCCGAATCCGTCGAAAAAGAACACGAACGAGGGAAAAAAAGTCTCCAACCGAGGCTCCAATTAAGCCTTAAGCAGGAGAAAACAAACAACCACCCATAAACCAACAAACCAAGGCAAGCCACCAAACTCCAAAAACACGAAGTCCCTGCAAATTACTAGGGTCCAAAAAAACTATTAACATAACAAGGGTTCTACAAACATGGTTTTCCAGAATCCCCCTGAAAGTGGCCCTGTTACCGCAATAGCAGGACCCTCATGTTTGTGTGGTTTTTGGGGCCCCTAAATTACCGTCCTCACACAAACTGTAGCAGCACCTTCTCACTGTGGGACAGCTCCTGCAGCCTTCGGAAAGCCTGAATTCTCAGTTGAGGGCGGAGGTTTGGGCCTTAAAGCTTCAGTGGTTTCGGGTTTACGCAATGCCCACAGCCGCAGGGGCACAACCCCCCCCCCCCCCCCCCCGGCGCAACTAGTCATTCATTCTCATGGAATTCCGTCAGACCGAATACACACTAACCTGAACACGTTGCACTATCAGGAAGCACAGGAGAGATCAGCGCACTCTCTGTCATTGCGTTGACGCGGGGCGTCCACTTGGAGGCACTGACCAAACTTCAGTGGAACTGCATGAATGCAATGCAAGCTTTCATGATCAGGGCACGGCCTCTGCGCGCGCAACATGGGCCTGTCATGACGGGAAGGTCTTAGAGGACTTGGCATCATCAAAAGTCGGAGTAGCCTCTTCTCACCAGACTTTACGAAACTAAAAACGCTGCTAGGGTTCAGGGACCCCGAAAAAACCCTAAACCCTGTCGTGTACGGTTTGGCCAGTGCAGTCAGAACTGCCCAAGCCAGAGCGCGGTTCAAGTAGGATTCTGTGCCCCTTTCACGTGGTGCCTATGATCAGAATCTTACACCAAAACCAATTCAATACCGAAACTCTGCCCCTAAACCCCGAAGGTGTGCAAAGCAAAGCAGGGCCTCTTTCTTTGCTTCTCTGTGCCTGCACACATCTTGTGCTTCAAACCGTAAGCCCAGGATTCTCCCGCGCAGTGATGCTCCATCTGTGCCATGAGCATCCCAAGTACCCTGAACCCTAAACCCTATAAACTAAACCCTGAAACCCTGAACCCTAAACCCTAAACCCGAAACCCTAGACCCTAAACCCCAAACCCAAACCCCAAACCCGAACCAGCAATCCGAAAGACCCAGTCGCGCCTCCTCCAGGCGATCTCTAAGGCAGCTTGCGTGAGCCTGGCCCACCCAGGACGCGCTTGGGGCTCAGTTTTCTTAAGAGAGTTCAGGTTATTTGGGGTGGTGTGGGAGGGGTTCTCTAAGTTGGGTTTAGGATTTAGGGTTTAGGGGTTCTAGTGTAAAAGTGGCGCTTTATATTGGGACCCAAGAAAGCCACAGTTTCGAGAACTGCCCAGTCGGGGTTTCGGGATTAGCAGTGGACAGATTCCGGTTCTTTTGATAGGGTCTATTGGGAGGGTTTAGGGTTTAGGGTTTAGGGTTTTTAGGGTTTTAGGGTTTAGGGTTTAGGGTTTATGGTTTTAGGGTTTAGGGTTTAGGGTTTAGGGTTGCCGACTACACTCTTGGGAAGTCCTACAGACAGACACGAAGAACCAAACATTGGGTCCCCCACGCGTCGTGCATCTTCGTGGTTTTGGAGTTTAGGGGGAGCTTCAGAGGGCGGCAGAGTTAAGATTTCTTCCTCCCCCGGCCCACGCAGGCACGCGCTCCCAGCCCATCCCCCAAACTCCCAACACCCCAACAACACCCTGAAGCGCAAAGAGCCCCACACCCCAAACCTGATCAGATCCGTCAACCCTTGATCCTCAAAACCCCACCCTTCATCCCCACTGAAGCTCCGAAAGCTCAACTCCCTTGACTCCCACCGCCCTGCTGAGCTGAACCTCCATCCTCTCCAAGCGGAGTGTAGAGCTGGAGCTATCCGGGTGAAGGCGTGTAGGATGTGTGGCTCAGGGTTTAGGGCTTGGGGTTTCGGTCTGAGAATCTCCCAAAAGCCTCAACAAGTTTCACAGGCTGAGCCTTCACAAGCTTTGTGGAGCTCTTCAAAACTTCGTGGGTTTTGCGACTTGGGCATCTAGGGCCTGAATGCAGGGCCTGGGGTCTCTAGGAAAGCCGCTACAAGCTCCCGAAGACCTAAACCCTAAACCCCAAACCCTAAACCCTAACCCTAAACCCTCCCTAAACCCAAACCCAAAACCTTACAGGTGAAAGCCTCAACCTTGGCAGATGGGTCAGTATTCACCCAAGAATAGGGGGTAGGGGGTACCCCTCCAACCCGCCTCCCCCCCCCCCCCCCCCCCCCAAAAAAAAAAAGAAAAACTAAACAACACATGCAATCCATAACATGGGACACCCCAAAAAGGGTTTCTACCCTATTTTCGGAAGCCCTCAATACCCCAAACCCTGAACCCCAAACCCCTAAACCCCTTCACCCCCAAACACCTAAACCCTAAACCCTAAACCCCAAACACCTAAACCCTAAACCCTAAACCCTATGTTTCCGGAACCCCGGCAGCTGAACCTGGGCTCCTGACTCGGCGGAGGAGCGGTTCCGGTCTCCCAGCTGCTCCATGAGCTGCCTCTGGTTAAGGGTGTAAGGTTGCCTTAAACCCTAAACCCTAAACCCCTAAACCCCTAAACCCCTAACCCCCTAACCCCCCCCAAAACCCTCTTCTGCTTAACAAAGGAGACAATCAGAACAAAGGCCCAGGCTGCAGCTGCTCTTCAAGGCGTTCCACTTCCGCACCGAGCCGGGCAGCCTCAACCGCGGCCTGCGCTAGGGTTTAGTTTAGGATTCAGGGTTCAGGGTTTATAGGGCTTGAGGATGTTTGGGGTTCAGGGTTTGGGGCTTAAAGGGTTTAGGATTTAGGGGTTTGGGGTTCGGGGATTTAGGGTTTAGGGTTTGGGGATTTAGGGTTTTTGGGGCTGTAGGGTTTCGGAGGTTGAGGGGTCTTGGGGTTTTGAAGTTGTAGGGGATAGGGCTTTCTAGGGGGCAGGGCGACTCCGCGGTGGGGCCGTTAGGGCTTTCATAGTAGTTCTGGGGGGTTTTTCTTGCTTTACAGGTGGTAGGGCTTAGGGTTGTCCTAGGACCCAGGACTTCTGAAGGGTTATCAATGTAGAGCTTTTGGGGTTTAGAGCTTGGTGGGGTGTATGGGGGCCGGAGGGAAGGAGAGGGGGGAGCCGGAGTTTGGAGGTAGGGTTGGAGGTTGTTGGCATCTCAACCGGACCCTGAATTCCTGATCCCTAAGCCCTGCCAGTCTACGGGATGGGCACCCTGAACCAGTTTCGCAGTATTCTTCTGTGGGTTGCGGTCAAGAGGATCTCACTTAGGAGTTGGGATGTTCCCCCTTATACTGACAGTCCTGAATGGGGATTCCAGTACCCTCTGTTATTCTTCCAGCACCACCCTGAGCCCCAAATCCCCACACCCCCTGAACCCAAGGCCCGATGGACATGGGCTTGTCCCGAATATTGTCATCGTTTGTTTTCTACTCCTCATCGTTTTACAGCGTTTGCACACAAAACACAATGTCTTTGGCTAAAATTCTTATCGTTTTACAGTGATTGCGTACGACAAGGTCATGCTTCTGGGTACATGGCTGGCTTGCGTTCCAAAGCCTAGGTGGCTTCAACATCGAACCTACAGCCGTGGGTTTGAAGGGTTAACGGGTTTATTTAGAGTCGAGCCCCCAAACCTGAACAACCCATCGGCCCTCAGAGCCAGAGACCCCGAAATGAGGTTTCTGAGGGGGGTT